GCAATCCATTGTTTGTGTACAGCACCTCAGGGGCCAAATGAAAGGTAAAGTGGTAATGTAGCGCATGCGATATATCAAACAATGATATATCGCACCAGCATGGGGGGGGGGGTGGCAACCACCCCCCCATGTGCGTTCTAGGATGGCAAAATGGCATGTGCGGGCGAGGGTTAATGCGGAGTGATCGAAAAGAAGATGTCAATAGCTAAAGTTGCAGCTGCAAGGATGACGATACATATAAGCTACATTCAAAGTTTTATTGTAGTCTGGCTAATCGTTCCTAAGCTTCAGAAGCAGAACATACCCATGACTGAAACCCCACATTACTTCTGCTGTGGACTGTACAATACAGGCGCCACTAAATGCAAATCAAACTCGACATTTATCGTCATTATCTAAGTATATGTAGTAGTAGTGTGCTAAACAAATGTGCGTCACAGTTTTTATTTTGGCACCATTAGGCTCGACATGACCTGCTGCGTTGAATGACATGATTAACCCTCGCCCGCACATGGGGGGGGGGGGGGGTGGTTGCCACCCCCCCCAGGTAGTCTTTCTGCTCTGCACTCAACATTTTTAGAGCTAGAAGGCTGATTTTTCGTATAGCTGCTCCTCTATCCTTTCTTGATATCCACTGAAAATTTCAAGTTTCTGTGATTTTTGGTTTCGGAGATATGACCTTGTTTTTCAGGTCATGTCATGACCCAAATGGCCAATTCTCAACATCTTGCGTTTGCCATGGGCCTTATGAGCTTTTGACACCCTGATTTCGGCCTTTTTTGCCAGTCTTACCTCCTACCTATCATGGCACATGTTGTTTGACGATGTACAGGGGTCAAGGTCAGGGTCAAGGTCAACCTAGGTCACCTAAGATAATTGCGTTTTAGGCAAGCTGAATTTACTTATTGTGAAGTTTTTTGACTGCATTTTTGGTAAAAGCTTCTCAGATCATGATTTCATGTGATATGGACCCAAAAACAATCGGTGCACACATCAGTATACACACAGACACACACAGACATACAAACACATATAATTGACCTTGACCTAACTTGACCTGAAATGACCTCAGCAGCAAAATTCTGGTCGGGTAGTGTGACAAAGAGGTTCTAGCTGGCTTGGCACCAGAAAACAGCATCGTCATCGGTATTTGATAAGCAGCACACTTGATATCCAACGGTGACCCAAAACAGCAACATTTTTTAGTTTGACCTGACCTGGAAGGTCAATGACTGACCTGAGAAGGTAAAACTGGGTATCATTGGATTCGTCTCTTCCCAAAGAATCTTTTTGGTCTCTACTGCTAAGCTCTATCTCCAACAGGAACGAAATGGCGCGGGGGGGGGGTGGCAACCACCCCCCCCCCCATGTGCGTTCTAGGATGGGAAAATGGCATGTGCGGGCGAGGGTTAACCCGGTCGGGCCCAGGGGTACCTAATCCCAACCATCGCAGCCGGCGGCGGGGGAGGGCGTTTTTCGCCCCCTGTATAACTCCGCAAATAAGGAAGCTACGGAATGCGTTGGTGACAAGCTGCCAAACCTCCAGGACCATTTTTGGTAGAGTTATTTGCGGAAAACTAAAACCCAGTTCGGGGTATTTGACCTGACCTCTGACCTCAGGTCACCAAAACCGTCACTTAAAGGTAGTGTGCCAGCTTTCTTGGACCGTATGGAGTTAATGGCCCAGATAAGGAGAACAGGATTTTTAGAACTTATCCATACCTTCAAAACTCATGGAAACGTTTTAAATTCTTCAAATTTTGAGTACCCCAGTGCGAAATTCGCCCCGACGGGTTGTCGGTCGTACCCCAATCACATTTCACACCACTATGAACAATAAATGCACACACTGAAATCGCTATTACCGATATGCTCATCCAATCAAGTTTCGATAAACCCATTCATCATCACCTCCTGCGGTTTCGAACACGCCTGTTAGGTGGTGCGGTAGACCACGCCCAAAGCCAGGGCCCCGGTAACGTGAGGTAGCCGAGTCAGGGCAGCGTGCGCTGACCCAAGCCGGAGCCGCGCGTCCTCCCGGTGTCATGTGATAGCCCGGGGCTGCCCGCGGGGATGCGGTAGACCGCGCCCAAAGCTGCGGCCCCGGCTTGGGTCAGCGCACGCTGCCCCGACTCGGCTACCTCACGTTACCGGGGCCCTGGCTTTGGGCGCGGCTTCTGCTCATACTTTGTGGTGCGGTGGTGGTGCGTCGGGCTGCGCGCTCTGACTTCGGCCAAGAAAAATGCGTCAGCTGATCATTGTCATTTCTGCCACTTGCGTGTGGTGAAATGGGGCCATAACTTATAAGACGGCTTTTTCATATCAATTATCTTACATAAAATCATATTTCAAACCATAAATAATGTTCGACAGCCAAATAAAAGAAACAATACCAATACGGGCTTACAGTTTAAGGCTCGACATTGTGTTGTCTACGATTAGACAGCTGATAACTCATTCCCGTATGTCGTATGGTCGTAACACTATAATGACCTTTGCTTATTGTCACAAGTGCGCCGCATTCGCGATTGTTGCCCGACGCCTGTTTGCAAGTGAGCCCACTACAGTTGTTATACATATCTAAAAACCGATAAACTTTTAGGCGAAAAAGGCACTATTCCAGGCCCATTTTTGATTTTTTTTTTGCGATATTAGGTAAAAACAGAAGCTTCTTATCCTAGGAAAAATAAAATGGGAAATCTTTCAAAGGTGGCACACTACCTTTAATTCGTCTATTTTTCCCTAGGTCAAACGCTACACACCAGTGCTCGTAATTTGACTGTATCTTTAAACTCTATATTTTTTGGCAGCTATTTGGGGCTCACGTCTGTATCGCCGAAGTTTGCCGTGCAGGGGTCTAGAAAAAATCGACCCTGTGACGTCACCAAGGAGGCTAGGTACAATTCTTTAATTAACCCACGAGCCACAGGGGGGGGGGGGCATAAAGTTGCCCCCTTACGTTTCGTGGAATATCTCCGAAACCTGATGAGCTACAAACGTGGAACTTGGCATAGCTTCAAACGAATACCTAGGCAATCTTTGAGGAATGTTTGGTGGTTGTAGCAGCACTAAACCCTCGCCCGCACATGCCATTTTCCCATCTTAGAATGCACATGGGGGGGGGGGGGTTGCTACCCCCGCGCCATTTCGTTCCTGTTGGAGATAGAGCTTTGTGGTAAAGACCAAGAAGATTCTTTGGGAAGAGACGAATCTAATGATACCCAGTTTACCTTCTCAGGTCAGTCATTGACCTTCCAGGTCAGGTCAAACTAAAAAATGTTGCTGTTTTGGGTCACCGTTGGATATCAAGTGCGCTGCTTATCATATACCGATGACGATGCCGTTTTCTGGTGCTAAGCCGGCTAGAACCTCTTTGTCACACTACCCGACCAGGTTTTTGCTGCTGAGGTCAATTCAGGTCAAGTTAGATCAAGGTCAATGATATGTGCTTGTATGTCTGTGTGTGTTTGTGTGTATATTGATGTGTGCACCGATTGTTTATGTGTCCATGTTACATGAAATCATGATCTGAGAAGTTTTTACCAAAAAAATGCAGTCAAAAAACTTCACGAAAAGTAAATTCAGCTTGCCTAAAACGCAATTATCTTAGATGACCTAGGTTGACCTTGACCCTGACCTTGATATCTGTACCTATATCGTCGAACAACATGTTCCATGATAGGTGGGAGGTAAGACTGGCAAAAAAAGGCCGAAATCAAGGTGTCAAAAGCTCACAAGGCCCATAGCCAACGCAAGATGTTGAGAACTGGTCATTTGGGTAATGACATGACCTGAAAAATAAGGTCATATCTCCAAAGCCAAAACCACAGAAACTTGAAATTTTCAGTGGACATCAAGAAAGGATGAAGGAGCAGCTTTACGAAAAATCAGGGATCTAGCTCTAAAAATGTTGAGTGCAGAGCAGAAAGACTACCTGGGGGAAGGGTGGCAACCACCCCTCCCCCATGTGCGGGCGAGGGTTAAGATGACGTCACAGTCACGTCATAAAATTTTGTCGTTTTCCGATACGGACCGTTTCTGATGACGCTGAGCATGAAACTCAACTGGAAATGAACCAGACAGCACCTCTTGTCATCCTTAAACATCTAAGTACACTTTCACCTAGTTCCTGACCATTGACCAATAATCGGTATTTTATATTTGGTCTCATATATCGGATATGTCGTGAGAAAACTGAGAGACGCAAATCTATAATTTAACTTCTGACGTCACTGTGACGTCATTTCAAATGGGATCGACACCAAATTTTGACACAACCTCGGCTAGGTATTCAGGAAGTTGTGTGCAAAGTTTGTTTCTCTATCTCTTCGCGTTGCGACGATATCGTCGCAGAAGTCTAGGTAAAGGGAGGGGGGGGGGGGCAACTATATGCCCCCCAGCGGCCGGCGGGTGGCGCGGAGGCCCAGCGGCCGCCGGGTTAACCCGCACCCTGGTGGGCCTGTTTATAACGCGACCTGGTGGCGGGGAGGGCTATTTTTGCCCCCCCCCCCTCATATCTCCGAAACTACTGAACGGATCCGCAAAATTCAAACGACGTTCGAAAGGCCTGTCAAATTTGCTCCAAGAAACCAAATTTCATTGACCTCGGGGTCACCGATGACGTCACAGGTCAGGTCAAAGATGAAATAGTTCACCGTTCACGGGTCTTCTAGGGAATGCGCTATAACACCGAGGAAAACGTATTTTGTCGAGAATCAGCGATAGGGCGTCAGTTGCCTAGTACATATAACATATGTTGCTATTAGATGTCACTGACAATACCAGGTCAGGTCACAGGTCAGGTGACCAAGGGTCAGCACATAAACCCAATTTTACTAAGGTTGTGCGATGCATGTTTTATGGCCAATTTTTCATTTCCAACTCAATAGTGTTAGCGAAAACGCCCCCCCCCCCCCCAGGCGGCGAGGGTTAATGCTTGATAAAGGTGAAGTTGGAAACTGAACTGTAGTTCATACACACAATGCACAGCATAAGGGGGATATGCAGGTATAATATATTTGCGATAAAATATGGCTAGACATTGTTTAAAAACGCGCCCTCAAGCTTGTAATGATTATCGAAGGCCGCTCCCAAGTTAGCACACCGGCAGTATTTAGCCCCAGGACATTCTTCAGATCGACAGCGCAGAGCCACCGTGTCTGTTAAGCTGTGAGCTAATGCTCTTCCTCGCGCATCCAGTAGAGGACTGTGCCGCTATGCTCCTCCTCTGGACCGTCGATCCAGGGCGCGTGTTTCCAGAAGGCGTCGCTGTGCAGCCGACTGATGACCAGCGTGCCCCACCAGTCGTCACCGTCTGCAGAACTGGTGGTGAGGACCGTGTCCAGCCCCCCTCTCAGCCACGGCATCCTCTCCTCGATACCCTTATCCTGGTACTGCCAGCTGTCGAACTTTGTGACGAGCTCGACATCGGTCTGGAGGCCCTGGACGTCGACAAAGCTGTAGTGACGGGGAGCGAGCCAGACTCCGCCCCAGTGGCGGCGGCCCCGCTCCGCCGCCTGCGCCTCGATCCGGTAGGCGAACCGGGAGCTGTTGCCCAGGTCTCGGATGGCGTCCGCCTGGCCCAGGATTGAGTAGTTGTCAGTGAACGAGGGCGACAGCGGGTTCCGACTGAATATACTCAACATGTCCCAGCCGGTCTGGGAGTTAGCTGTCACCAACAGCGTCCAGCCGCCGCCGTCGTGGCTGAAGTCGCACAGCACCGGCGCCGGCATCCCGGTAAACCAGTAGACGCCGTCCCTTGAGGCGCCACCCTGGTTGCGCAGCTGCAGACAGGAGCGAGCGCAGGCGCGTATCTCTGGTTCTTGGTACTGTGCCATGCCAATTGGTAGCGCAGTAGGCCACATTAGACACTTCACCTCGGTCTTCAAGGCAGTCAGCAATCGTTCCAGTGTGCCCAGGCTCGTCTGCATGTCAACGACAGCTGAGGGCACGGCCGCTCTCTGCTGCTCGTCTACTTCCAACGAGTTGTGAACACCTGTGACCAGCAGGATCAGGAGGGTGACGAGCCGAAGGCTGGCCATGTTGGCTGGAAGCTGGTCAACAGCAGCGACGGCTCCCGGAAATCGGTGATTGACATAGGCGTAGGAACGTTTTTGAAAGTGGGGGGGCCAGGCTCCCAGAGGTCTAAAACCTAACCTACCCCAAAATCCAATTTCTCCTCGGATTTCGGCCACTTTGTTTTCGCAAACATGCTCAGAGGTAAAAAAAAATATAGACAAAAACAAAAACAAAATTGGTTAAATTTCAGGGAGACTCCTGTCCATAAACTCAAACTGATGGACGCGTTCCCCTGTCCTCCGCAGCCGTTGGCACCCATGCAAATTCCAGAGGCATCCAAAAACTTTTTCATTACGAGCAAGCGTGAAACGTGCAAAGCGAGTCTTTTCAATATACCTATAAAAATCAGCAGGAACTAGGTTCAGCCAGGCCTGTAACGTTTTTAAGAGGTTTTATATCAGCGACCACTGCAACTGGGCTGATTGACTTTCAGAGGCCGCCGGCCGGTGTGGGACTTTTAGAGGCCGGTCTGGGCCCTCAGAGGCCAGTTTAACCCTCGCCGGCCCGGACCTATAGGTTTTCTACATACACGCCGGCCGAGGGGGCGGGGGGCGGGCACGACCCCCTCGCTATTTCGCCCCAGGTGGAGCTAGCGCGTCGCGGAAAAAAACGAGCGTGTGCGCCGTTACGAGGCGCAGAGATCGATTCTCGATTTTAAGGTCCTAGGTCAACCGGTGACCTCTTAGGTCAGGTCAAGTGTCTCAATGCACGGTTCCGTTTTTGGTGAATAACTTCGCAATAAAACGGCCGCAGAGCCGCGATTTTGGCAGCATCGTGTTCGCCTCGCTCAGGCGCGTCGAATGATATACATTTTGTTTGGGTCAGGTCAACTTAGGGTGTTGATCTCAGGTCAAGGTCAGGTCAGCACCCCAGGTCACGAAGTTGGTCGAAAGAGGTCATGTCGCATATCATTCGATTCGGCAGGTCTTCCTGAGTCCATTGGTGGCTTTCCCGACTCGCTAGCTCAATTTGATCGGTAGATAACGTCATATATGACGTCGCGCAAGGTCAACATTGCAAAAGTGACGCATCGAGCATTGCAAGGAGTGCATAAAATCACGATTCGGTGTGCTTGAGATAGTTGGAGATCGTTTCCGGCGCCAGAAAAAGTTTTCAGTTTATCTCCATTGACTTATACCTAATGGTGAGGTCACGGAAATGACCTGACCTCATATGACCTTTAGGAAAAATCCGAGATGTGCAAGTTGTGAGACTCCTAATGGATACTAGGTCCTGCAAGGTTCATTTCCCTGTGAAATCTCCTCTGGCAGTGAGGGCGTTGCGAAGTTGCGACATCTGAAGACCGTGCAGAGGTTCACTTATGACCTCATAGGTCAGTGACCTGATCTGATCCGAAAATGCGGTTGGTGTCAAAAGATCTGGCTTTATTCAAAGGTCAGGTATGCCAAGCTTCAGCTCTCTATCGCCGGCGTGTTCGGAGCTATCGCGAAAAAAAACTATGGAGGGGCGGCACCCGCCCCCCCCCCCCTCGGCCGGCGAAGGTTAAGGCCCTCAGAGACCAGTACAGGGCCTGCAAAGAGCAGTTTGAGACCTTAAGATGCCGACTTGGGCCATCAGAGGCTAAAGTGGGTCCTTACAGGCCAGCATGGGCCCTCAGAGGTCAATGTGGGACCCTAAAGGCTAAAATACCGGCATGGGCCGGTGTTGGACCCCAGAGACCAGCAGAAGGCCCTCAAAAACCAAGATGGGCCTCAGAGGCCGGTATCAGGTCTTCAGAATCCCGTGCAAGGCCCTCATAGGCTAGTGTGGGTCCTTACAGACCAGCATGGCCCTTAGAGGTCAGTGTGGGGCCCTAAAAGACCGTCATGGGCTAGCGTTGGACCTCTAAGGCCAAGATGGACCCTCAGAGGCCGATGTGGACCCTTACAGGCCGGCATCGGGTCTTCAGAATTCAGTGCGGGGCCCTCAGAGGCACCTGAAGGTTAACCCGCGCACCGACGGGGGGGGGCGGATATCCGCCCCCCCCTGAGGTTTTTCGCGAATAGCGGGAAAACCGCGGCGCGTAGCGCCGCGAAATTTGGTATGACTATTCCCTTATCAATTTTACACATGGTGTGCAAGTTTGAACCTCCTACCTTTCAAGGTCAGGTCACCAGGTCACTTTGAATGACCCAACCTCAAGTCACTTTTTTGCAACTTTGTCACCGTGCCAGAGCTACAGTAGATGTCGGAGGCCTTTGAAAGTCGCAGGATGTTATTAGGTCATTAGTAGCTACAATTTGTATATCTCGGAATTTTGATATCGGTGACCTAAGGTCAGGTCAATTTCGCGACCTCCCCATTATAAGTCAATGGGGGAAAAATCAACTCCCTGTTTTTACCACTAAAACGGGTCGGAATGGCCCCATATACCATACATGACTTCATATACGATCAACCTTCACTACCTTGAGGTTTGTTTTGCTGTTGGGCAGCTGTGAGGTCATGTGACGTCATCAAAGGTCACCAAAGGTTTTTGGCCAATAACTCCGTACAGGAACAAGATACAGACGCGTGGATGGTCTCATTGTGTTCAGCTCGTCAAGACGCATCGAATGATATACATGATGACCTCGAGGTCACGTGACCTGAGGTCAACCTTTGACCTTGACCTTTCGAGGTCAACATATATCATTCGATGCGGATTGACGAGAGGATCACGATGAGGCCCTTAGTTTGTTCCTATCTTGACTAATTCGAAAGTTATTCGAGAAAAACTCTCTCCATATTTAGCGCCGCCATTTTGACTTTTTCGACCCCTGTGACGTCATCTTTGACCTGACCTGAAAATGACCTTAGTAAAAATTGTAGATCTTGACCGTGCGTATCCGATGCCGTTTACCGCTTGTCGCTATCTTGCTTCGTTCTCGAGATCTCAGGGGGGGGCGGTCATCCGCCCCCCCCCCGTCGGTACTAAGTTGGCGCAGACCCCCGTCGGTGCGCGGGTTAATCTTGGGGCCCCAGAGACAGAAATGAGGCCACCAGAGGCCGGTGTGAGGCCCTCAGACGCCGGCTGGGCCCTTGAGGCCGGTTAGGGGCCCTCAAATGCTAGTGGAGGGCCCTAAGAGGTCAATGTGGGCGCTTGACCGCCACTGAAGGGCCCTCCGAGATCAGTGTAGGACCATCAAAGACTGGTTTGGGAGCTGTTTATAGCTGGCGTGGGATTCTTGAGCCTCCTGACAACCGAATAAGGGCCAGAGCCCCATACGCCCATGGGGACCCATTGGTTGTTTTGGGGGGGGGGGCAAATGATATGATGGCCCCCTGATTAGCCTTTGGAGGGGGAAGGGCATGGCCCTGGTCCCCCTTCTGCGACCGCCACTGTACTGAAAGTGGAAGGGGGAGGGGCAGATACAGACATTGCTGGCCCCCAGCCTGTTTGAACCGAGGCGGGGGCACGGTCACCCTGGCCCCCAGCTAGTACGTACCTACGCCTTTGACGAACTATGCCGACCCCAAGCAGATCTGGTCAAGCGTTGGTCGTTTGTATACGCATTCTCCTGCACCATGCTAGTATTGTCTTATACCTTTTCAGTGCTCGCTGTCCTGCGCCTTGCAATCAACAAAATGCTGCGGCACCAGGACTCACAGTCTTGTCTCTGATATGGTTTCCTTCATTGAGTGAAGGAAATTGCGGCCAATAACGCTGTAGGAACAAAAGGGAATCTGAATAGCTGAATAGGCAAGCTGAATAGTTGTCAAGTTCTGGTGTTTAGGGTACCGGGTGGTAGGTACAGAGTAGAGTTAGACAGACACTCATAATGGATACTAGATCCTGCAAGTTTCATTTCCCTGTGACATCTCCTCTGGCAGTGAGGGCGTTGCGAAGTTGCGACATCTGAAGACCGTGCAGAGGTTCACTTGTGACGTCATAGGTCAGTGACCTGACCTGACCCAAAAATGCGGTTGGTGTCAAAAGATGCGGCTTGGATCAAAGGTCAGGTATGCCAAGTTTCAGCTCTATATCGCCAGCGTGTTCGGAGCTATCGCGAAAAAACCCTATGGGGGGGGGGGCGGCACCCGCCCCCCCCCCTCGGCCGGCGAGGGTTAAGTCAGCAAAAAGTGGGGGGGGGGCCAGTTAACATTGCTGGCCCCCCCACCTCCGAAAGTGGGGGGCCATGGCCCCCCCGGCCCCCCCTGTTCCTACGCCTATGGTGATTGATGCTGCTGTACCACTATGAACCACTATGCCGTACCGTGAGCTGTTGATCAGAACGCACCAGCCGAGGTCTGCTGCCTCGGCCCACACCGGCCCAGACACTATGCTGTTGCCCACCTCGGTGGACTTGTGCATAATGTTTATGGATATGACTGAGCTGTTGCCTAAACTACAGTGACCTATAGATAGACCATCTGACTTGTTTATCATTGGACGTCAAGCATTTCATTCGCTAATATTTAGTTGACATTTAGACGTCTGGCAGTTCTGTATTTCAGATGCCATTGATGTCTGGAGTTCTCGTCTTTTCCGTTAACTCTCGCCGGACCTATTGTTTTTCTTCGTACGCGCCCCCGCCGAGAACGGGTAAGCGTAGAGGTGGGAAATTGCTAAGAGGCAAGACCTCCCCTTCACGCCGTTTCGTCCCAAACGGAGCTAGGGCCTCGTGGAAAAATGAGCGTACACGATGAGATGGTTTAAATGATTTTAAGCGGTTTTCGGTCAACTGATGACCTGGTGACCTGATGATCGTGTCGAATGGTGACTAAAGCCATGAGTTTGGTGTTGGTAAATAGTTTAACAAAAATGGCCTTAGCGCCGCGATTTTCGTGTAATCGTCATGTTAGCTTATAGCTTATATGCATCGACTGGTATGCTTTTTATTTTTGATCTGACTTCTGACGAAGTGTCAATATTTATGTATATTAAATAGTCTGATATCCATTTATGTTTTACTTGCATTCGTTTACAATAACCACAACTTTATTCATCGATATCAGATCCTCTTGTCTCAGGTAATTGTGCTAATCAATATTTAGCTTGATTCTGGAAGTTTCGACACTTTATAAACATTCACATACAAAGGTCCACATCTGGTCGGCCACGGTGGTTCAAACTGTCATGGCAACAGCGTAACAAGAAGGCAACAAGCCCCAATTAAAACATAAATCACACCTCATACAACTCAGAGTATATACGCTAGCACCCATTTGCAGTTTTCACGGGCAGGTGTCTCCATTGCTCGTTGATGGCCACCGTCTGCCAGAAGTTGACCCGTTCTTCAAACAATCTCTCCCCCAGCGCCGGCTGAGAATTAAGCCTCATGTGGCGCTGGTACTGTTCGGTGTAGATGGGCCAGTCGGGAAGCAGCAGGATGTCCGACCTGGGCTGACCGGTGCGCGCAAAGTTGGTCCACAAGTTGACCATGAACCGGGTCATGGCGTAGCCTGGGCTGCCAGGCCGCTCCCGAGGCAGGTTGTCGGTACTGAATAGGTAGCGGAGGTCATCTCCGTGGCTGACACCTGCCTCTGGAATCGGCCAGCGCAGGTTGGGAGGACTTGGCAGGGCAACGTTGTTGACTAATCGGCCTGGTCCCGTATGGTCCAGCACGTACTTGTAGAGAGGTGCATGGGTTGAGGCCAAACGAATCTCCTCAGAAATTTCGTTTACATAGAACCGATCAGACAGGGCAGTCGCCAGAACTTCGGAGCTCACAGTGGTATTCACTGGTGCGTAGAAGTTCAGTACTTTCAGCGTTTCATTCACAAGGTCTGCGCCACAATCCAAAATGCTGTACTCCGATTCACCGATCAGTGCAATGAATGGCGCCCAGTGAGCTATGGTTTTCTTCGTCACTCCTTTGACAAAACTCTCCGTTTGGAGACGGATCGGAAGGAAGAAAGCGCCTTCCATGCTCGTCATCCCCGAGAGCCACGGAACAATGTTGAACTTGCCACTCTCCAGCAGGGCTCTCGGCTCATCCGGTAGGAACGGGAAGGGACTCTCGCGATCGACTCGGGGCATGAACCCAGGCATGCTCCCTTCCCCAATGGCATCCAAGGCATCCATAAAAACATCGGAGGATACCGACCTTATGCAGTTAACCGAGATTCTACCGTCGGGCTTTGTGCAGCCAAGCTGCTTGGAGAGCTTCTTTTCTGAGCCCTTCCGTGAGTCTCTGGCCGCGAAGGTAGAGAAGGACATTCCAGACTGACTGATGGCGTGATGAAACAGGTCCTTTGTCAACGGACTCAGAACTTGGAGCGAGACGCTTGAGCCGCCAGCCGCCTGGCCGAAGATGGTGACGGATTTGGGGTCTCCGCCAAAGTTGGCGATGTTGTCCTGCACCCAGTGAAGCAACACGACCTGGTCCAGCAGGCCGTAGTTGCCCGGTGCAGCGTTGTCGTGGGTCGAGAAAAAGCCGAACGCGCCGAGACGGTAGTTGAACGTCACCAGCACCACCGGCTCGTCCATGAAGTAGTGGGGTCCATACTCATCAGCGTCGCCGGAGCCAAAGAAGAAGCCACCTCCGTGGATGAGTACCAGCACCGGCAGTCCGGTCAGCGAGCTCTCCTGTCCCGGCAGCTGACGGGAGTACACGTTCACGAACAGGCAGTCTTCGTCGCCAACGCGAGTGAAGTTGTTGAGGTGATCAAACTGCAAACAGCGGTTCCCGTGGTCGATGCCGTCGCGGATCCCGCGCCAGCCGGCGTGCCGCTGCGGCGCCTGGAAGCGGAGGTGTCTCAGCGGCGGCTGTGCGTACGGGATGCCCTTGAAGCAGTAGAAGAGGTGGCCGCCGGCGCTCCTGTCCATGACGCCCTTGACCCGGCCCTCCCGGGTGGCGACCAGCGGTCGGTAGCCATGGGCGATGTGGCCCGCCGCGCTGACCGCTGCCGCCAGCAGAGCAGTGCACAGCAGGAGCCTCATCGTGCCACTGACACCCGACCGCGCCAGTCCGGCCACGTTGTAGGCAAACGGAGCACCGTTGCATTTGTCCCGAGGTTATGGAAACCGGTTCTGAAGGATAGCGCTCAATGGAACAACACATGCCGGGTTGGGACGCAGCCGGAACAATGGACTAATGAGCCGGACATAATGAATGTGCCAACGTACTTAGTGCAATATCCATTGACAGCTTACATAAAGCCACAGCCAGTAAAAGAGACCAAACTACAACACATATTTCACGCTCGTCGCGAATTGAGTGATTATTCAATGGACTTTGATTCAATGCTTATCGATCAAGAAATTCTCGTTCTTAGATTTAGTCCTTGCTTTTTGCGCAGGCCAGATACCGAGCGCCAAGGCCATTCAATTTAGTCCGGAAACTCATAAAATGCTGATAAAATTATTTAAATGATATATGCTTAAGAACAACCTTGATATTTTTTAGAACCAAGGGCTAGCGAATCTTTGCCAGAGCTTTCTAACACCGTGAAGAAATTGTGAGGTCTCAACTCGACAACTTTTTCAAGTCTCATATTTATAAGTGTTAATCCAAGTTCAGGACAATCAACTGGTCCCCCATTCATAGACTTCTGTGTACCGAGGTCTATGTCCCATTGCATTTGAAATATGATATGGAATATGAAAAGCCGTTAATTGTTAAATCAACATCAATTTTGAAAATGAAAGATGCGGACTGTTTGTGCCGCCGGAACTTATCCGTTCCTATCTCGAACACATGATACCGTAAGTGACACATGGATCAAATTCAAGTAAGGATCAATACAGTGAGCAAGGTTCTAAGGTGACCAGCAGGAAGTAATCAAGGTTGTAAATACATTTACACAGTGATCAAGGTTCCACGAACCGGAAGCCTTGTGCGTCTTTTTGAATATACCTACTTTGAATGCATTTGTAGCTACTGATTGGTTTATTATTTGCAGCATCACTATGAAATTATCGACAAACATATAGGCGGTGGAACGGGGAGGGCACCGAGGCACCGTGCCCCCCTTTGATTTTGACATTTTAACATTAGCCCTATGGGCGTTGCATGGAAAGAATGGGACCAAAAGTCGACAGTGCCCCCCCCCCTAAATTGAAGGTGTTCCGCCGCTACTGTCGACAAAATTGAAATGACACAGTTGGATTTATGCTGCCATTGGATCCGTTTCTGAGCCGAGATCAATATCCGTGGTATCATATCGCAGTTCCATTTTTTTTTCAGATCTGTTTGCATGTCTGACACGTGACATAGGTATCATGCCCAAATTAGTTGTGTGTACTACCTACCTAATCGCCATTATTGTAATCAAATCAGTGATTATTTTCCCTTGCATTTAGAAGTTTTTCCTACCTAATGGTGATGGCTTCATGGGAATTAGTTCGCGATCACTTTGGGCGGAAAAGCTTGCCCGAACGCGAAATGTTTACGAAGAAAACCCTCCAAACGAAGCAGCATTGGACCACAAAAATGCACAAAAACAGCAGATCCGCCATAAACGGTACAATTGTTCCATCAATCCAGTACGTGACTAAGCTCACACGATCGATGCTTATGACCCAGGGACAATGACCTTATTATTTTGCGGAAAAAGTGTGACAGGGGTTCTCTTCGGCATTATTTCCCGTTTATATCAACTGTATAAATAGATATATAATAAATAGACGTTTTTTCCAGCCTTCAAACTCTACCCGTCCTCCCTTACACCTCATCAACATCCCCACCTTTGAAGGCACTCGGTTGATCAGCTCGGCCTCTGGTAACCGGGGATTCACGGCGGCTGCCTCACCACTCGGAACCCCGCAATGGATACCAACTGAAACGACGCGTGGCTGAGTTATGGCCATAGAGGTAGTGAAGCAAACAGCCTAAAGATGGTACCGTCCCGAGCAGTGGAGCGCACGCGGGAATGGGGAAGTCAAAGGCACACGGCTAACGATCGTCATCGTGCGGTCTTTGTCATCACTTTGATAGGTCGAATGCACAGAAGAAGGGCAGCAAAAGGTGAGTAGCAAAGCATTTAATTATAACCGTTTGTATGGAAATTGGAAGAGGTAATTGACAAAACAAATGAAGGTGTAGGTACTATAGATGGTTGATCGGTAAGTAAATGACTAATCCATGATATGAATTAACTATCATGCATTAAATGCTTACCGCCGTTGTCTGGAAGCCCTTCGCCTGCCTTTGTGTGATCAAATACACTACCGGTGAGACTCCGGACAAGCAAAACAGCATATAGGTATAATGTAGTCAGCAGCATAAGTATATGGGTGAGGGAACACTGAGTAAAAAATAAACGTTCAGCCGTATATAGTTGATCACTAATCTTTCAAAAGCTTATGAATTGGCACAATTAACCTATTGCCCATTGCAATGATGGAATAAAAGTCTAGGTTTTAACAGCATGAACTGCAAGTTTATGTTAGTGCAAACTGCATAGTGTATAGCCAGGTTGTTGATATGCATTCCGTGTCGAGTTATTAGCCGTTTTCACGACGGTCATTTGGTACACATTTGGTGCAGATTAGGTGCAGATTTGGTCAAATTAGGTTCATTGTATTCCTAAAGTTGTCAGTTTGTGCTGCACAGATGCCTATATACCTAATTTTCTTTTATTATCAGACAGTGCTTTCGATTAAACACTGAAACAAATTCATGGTACGAAAATATTTATTGTAAAAGAGATTTGGTGCAGATTTGGTCAAATCAGGTACATTCGCCAGATAGCCCGTCGTGAAAACGACTTAATGAACATCGTCTCATCAGTCAGCCACACCAAAAATACATGCAGCTTACAGGGACGCCATTTCTACGTGTATCATTGTCGCCTCCTATCCTTGAACCCTTTGCACCCGGACCATCTTTGCTTGTTGTCTCCAACAACCGCTATTTATAAGTGACACCGCTGCTCCTTCAATGCCGCTGAGTGGAACCGGTTCCGGTAGCGGTGTCCTTGGTGGATCATACGCCGGGTAGCCGTGCCTCAGTGACACCATGAGGCTCCTCCTGTGCATAGCGCTGCTGACTCTGGCCGTGTCCGGCTACCGGCCCCGCGACCACCGTCCGCTGGTCGCCACCAAGGAGGGCCGAGTCAGGGGGGTGGCCGACAGAAGCGCCGGCGGAAACCTCTTCTTCAGCTTCAAGGGCATCCCGTACGCCGAGCCGCCGGTGCGCAAGCTGCGATTCCGAGAACCGCAGCGGCATGCTCTGTGGACTGGAGTCCGTGACGCCTCCAGACATGGTAGTGAGTGCCCGAACTTTGACCAGCTGAGAAACAACACCCGTGTCGGAGACGAGGACTGCCTGTTTGTGAACGTGTTCACTCGTCAGTTGCCAGGAGAAGAGTACTCTCTGGCCGGCCTGCCGGTGATGGTCTACATTCACGGAGGTGGCTTCTTCTTTGGCTCCGGTGATGCGGATGAGTACGGACCCCACTACCTCATGGATGAGCCGGTGGTGCTGGTGACGTTCAACTACAGGCTCGGACCGTTCGGCTTTTTCACAACACACGACGCAGCAGCCCCTGGCAACTACGGCATGCTGGACCAGGTGCTGCTGCTGCAGTGGGTGCAGGACAACATCGCCGCGTTCGGTGGAAATCCTAAACTTGTTACCATTTTTGGTCAGTCTGCGGGCGGGTCTAGTGTGTCACTTTTGGTACTGAGTCCACTCGCTAAGGGACTCTTCCATCACGCCATCAGTCAGTCAGGCGCATCGTTCTCAAGCTTTGCTGCGAGTGCCAAGCGAAGAGGCTTGGCAAATAAGCTGTCAAACGTACTCGGATGCACTCTTCCCAATGGTGAAGCATCCGTTGAATGCATTAGGAGGGTACCTGCAGATGTAATTATGAATGCCTTGGAGACGCTTGGCGAAGGAAACAAACCAGGATTTCTGCCACGTGTGGATCAGGAAAGGTCGGAGCCGTTCTTGCCAGAGCAGCCAAGAGTTCTGTTGGATACGGGCAACTTTAACATTGTGCCGTGGATTTCTGGCATGACAAGCATGGAGGGTGCTTTCTTTCTTCCAGTCAGCCTTCAAACCGACCAGAGTGTTGATCAGGTTGTGAGGAAGGAAACAAGGAAATGGGCGCAAGTTCTCGCACTTCTTGGCGAATCTGAGTTCAGTATTTTGGATTGTGGTGCATCTCCGTTACAAGAGGCAAGAAAAGTTCTTGACTTCTTCACTCCGGGCCCTGGAACGGCCAGTCTAAGAACACTGGCGGTCGTTCTCTCGGATCGATTCTACGTAAACGAGATAACGGAGGAGATTCGACTGGCCTCTGCCCATGCGCCCCTCTACAAGTACGTGCTGGACCATACGGGACCAGGCCGCCTCAGCTTCGATGTCGATCTGCCAGTGCCTTCAAACCTGCGCTGGCCGGCACCGGAGCTGGGCGTCAGCCACGGGGACGACCTCCGCTACCTGTTCAGCACCGACAGCCTGCCTCGGGAGCGACCCGGAAGCCCCGGGTACGCCATCATCCGCTTCATGGTCAACCTGTGGACCAACTTCGCGCGCACGGGTCGGCCCAGCTCCGATGTGCTGCCTATGCCCGACTGGCCCATATTTACTGAGCACAGTCAGCGTCACATGAGACTCAACTCGCAGCCGGCCCTGGGAGAGAGACTGTTTGAAGAACGGGTCAATTTCTGGCAAACGGTGGCCGTCAACGAGCAGTGGAGACACCCAGTCATCATGACACCCGATGGATGTTGAAACAATGACTCATATGACATATCTGCTATATATAGTTAAAGGCTCTGAAAAAGTAATACCGAAGCGAGGTCTCTTCTCACTTCACTCTACCTCAATTTGCAGTTGACCGGTTGTCTTCACTCGTTCTCCGCTTTCTGTTTTAATATACCTTCACCAGTGCAGTGGTCATGGACTTCGACCACATCTTGTATGCTTGTTTCTTTCTTGATGGCTTTGTTGCAGACTGTTTAGTAAAAATAATAATCTTCGCATACTTGGCTGTCGAACAAAGATCTTTAAAGCTGATAGGTAAATCTACATAGAATGACGCATAACGTGGAAAAGCAAACGATAGCTCTCCGTGAGTTGATCTAGAATAAAAAAGATCATTTTCGATCAGATCAATACTGAAATCAATGGACGTCAAAAAAGGTAAAGCTTTCCTTAAAAACTTCCGGAATTTTTCTTTTCCACAAATCAGTGTATCGCAAACCTATGAATTGCGAATCAGGAGCTACAGCATCGCTAAAACTGCGAATTTGATAGCTTTTTCAAAGTCAATCCCTTAGAATCTCGTCATAATTGACCTCGGGTCAACGGTTTTGCCCACAGAGGGGAAATAGCCGTTTTCACGACGGGCTATCCGGCGAGTGCACCTAATTTGACCAGATCTGCACCTAATCTGCACCAAATGTGCACCAAATGTGTACCAGATGGCCGTTGTGAAAACAGCTAATACCTCCCTTATATAGGTAGACGGATTTTGTTGAAACAATTTTCTGGGACAGCTTTCTTTATTTCTCGTCAAGACGCGACGCAGGGCGACCATGGTGAGCCGATACTGACCGAGATGGACGAAGTGTACGATTTTTTTTTCACATACCTTTTTATTGCAACACAGATTCATTAGGTACTTGCAACGGCTCATCAGAAGTCAGAACCCTCAGGGAACGTGCCGAATTCTGACGGGATGTAAAGTCATTTGAGTTTTGAACCTATCTAGCACTTCACTGTCCCCGGCAGCTGCTATTGCTTCCGCTTGTCGCCTCTGAAGACGATTCAAACGAGCGACGTAGGCATACGGGTATGCTGATAAAGGCTTATCGATTCACCGCAGTTACAGATACCGCGTCTTCCGTGTACCTACACGAAAGATAGGTACCAGACTTATGTGTCTTGGCGGAGGTTATCATGAAATAATCGCCTCTAAAGGGACATGTGTAAGAATCGGCTGTTATGAGCAATGGTTATAATCTCAAGAGTCTTCCTGTATATTTTGGTAGCCCTCCCCGTCCGAATGAACGGAATGGCCATCCTGTGTGATGTTTCTTTTCTTGCGATGGCTCGAAATGCGTCGGGGGTAGATGGAATGCGTGACACTCGATTCCGAGTGGACTTTTTGCCATCGCATTTTGAGGTAAGATCAGACCGCTGACGTAGGGAAGCATAACGTCTTATAGTCAACCTCTGCGCGGCTAACTAATAAATTTAATGACGTATTGTTTGACAATGTGGAGGGCACGTTTATTACGCGTTTTATGAGTCTTTCTATCTTTCTTAGTTTTCAAGATATTGCAGAGTCGGGTCAAATACAGTCCGATTTCCGACCACCATAGCGAATTAGGTGGTTCGGCCTACAGTCACGAAATGCATACATCAAGCTTATTTTGAGACAAATCCAAGACCCAATAACTAAACCTAAATCCAAAACCTATAAATCCCAGACACAGCCCAATCGCATCACAACTTAAAAATGTGCTTACACCACATGTCGTTATAGCCCCTTTTACACACCCCTAAAGGTTGAAAGCATTTGTTTGCATGGAGTCTAAAAAACTGTTTGAGGTTGTTTGGGGGGGGGGGGCGAGGTTGTTTGAAAATCTGAGTAAACTTTTCTTCCGTCAGCAGAGAAGTTAACAGTTTTCGCTCGAGCCTAAAGACCGATCACTCCGTTACACACCAATTGACTCATTACCATTTGCATGATAGAATTGTTGTACTGGGACAAAGGCATCAGTAAACAAGAATGATTCACACTAGTTACGCTTATATAATACGTTACTGGCGTGAAATACCTTATTCGTTTTTACTGACTAGTAACAGCATAATCCATCGGAGCCCTTATTTTATTTTGCAGTTAGATAACTGCAAAACGGCACTAAAGGCAACTTTGTGCCGATACAACTGGCGCGATAAGCTCTACCAGAAGCGGAAGAGGATGTGCGACATGCAAAACACTCGATTAGGGCATTATAACGATGATAGAATCTCTCCCGAGCGAACATTACACGACACACACACACACAAAAAAAACAAATGCTAACTATCGCGTGCCGGGTATACACGTACGTTCGTTGAGCGTGAATCATCAATAAAGCAGGACGCCTAATTAGCCCGCATTGTGTTACCAGAACCAAGCAAACATGCATTAGCCGGTAGTCTATAAAGAACCCGCAACACATTCAGGTTCGAGGGTGTGCCAGCTCGTTTTACACGACAAATCCCATCCAGCTCGGCACCACCACTTCTGGCCTGTCACGTCCAGCCCACCGACTAATTTACCTACGTAGGTACTTACATACGGTTGCAGTGCTATACGGAAAAAAACGACTTCCTAGTAGGTATCTTTGCAGCTCACCTTGGCTCCATGGTTCATGGTCCACATGACTTGGCACCGGTTCAGAGCATGATACCGATGAAACGATGCTGATGGTATGCACCAAATTCAAAAGAGAGAAAAATCGCAGAGAGGAGACGTATCTGAAAACGTAGCGGTTAATATCCTCTCTGATCACTCATCTAAATTCACTCAACGCTCAACGAGTTCACCCGAGTGATCGGACGAATGACATTCTTGAGCTTGCAACATACTCTCAATGTAACGACCCTGCATAAAGTAAGTTCATTTTGCTGGATACAGCATACACCGACACATCGCCAGACAGTGCCATCTCGCTTCAGCCAATGGTCCATACCGTCATATACAAACGCCAGCTTTGTCTTGTAATATAACAGCCATGATCACATTACTGTTCGTCACTGAAAGTCACGCCTGGACAAACTCAGTACGCGAATCATGCTGTCTCCGTTCGACGGGTTTTCATTCGCTGGTTCGGGTTCCTTGGTGGCAGCGGCTCGCTTTCTCGCTGCCTTCTCCAGCGCCGCCGCCGGCCACTCAAACGCCAGGGAGAACACGGCTGCGATCGCCACGTTGACGACTAGGTCGGCCAGGAACCAGAACACGAGCCAAAGATGGCTGCCGGCCACTGGTTCGCGCGCCTGACTGACATACCAGACCATCAACTGGATGGAGGTGAGGTAAGTAGCGTACGTCAGTCGCGAGAGCGGCCACCACACAGGGTGAGAGAGTAGAGCGTTCACAGGACCACCACGACCCTTGGCGCAGGCCCAGATCACCCAGGCGATGCAGAGACCCCAGGCAGGCCGGTGGAGCGCCGCGTACGACACAGCCACGGCCGGCGTCCACTCTGAGTCGGGTTCACTGTTGTATTTCCACATACCGAGCACAACCAGCAGAGCCACTGCCGTGGAGAGAGCCCAGAGTAGACCGCAGACCAGCCGTGAAGGGCGCTTCGGTGGCTCGGGATCCACCAGCATCAGACCCAGCGCCAGGCCGATCAGGTAAGGGGCCGCCCGCGACCACGGCGCGTTATACACCAGCAGCGTGAAGTCGGCCATCACGTCCGGATCGGTGGCGCGCCGGTTGAGGTTGAGCAGAGTTGGCGGCAGGTCCTTCACGTAGGTGATGACTCCCGGGATCACAACGGAGGCCAGCGAGATGAATCCAAACGGCAGCCAGCCGGCACGTGGCCAGCGGAGCACCGGGAGAACCAGCAGTGGGGCCACCAGGAACAGCTGCATGTCGAGCGCCAGGTACCAGGACTGGTCGATGCACACCGTCTCGTCGTTGGGAAAGAAGTTGTTGATGTAGAGCAAGTTGTGCCACCACGACTCTTGACAGCCGGTGATGCCGAAGGCGGCGAAGTTGACTGTGGTGAACGTCCCGCTGCCGATGTGACGCAGCAGGGTGGCCGTGAACCAGATGACGGCTGCGTAGAGCGGCGTCAATCGCAGCAGACGGTGCAGGTATAGCGCCGGTAGCTGGCGGAGTCCGACCGGCCGGCCGGCGCCGGCCTCGCGCGCCAGTCCGAGCGACACCATCGCTCCGCTGACCACCAGGAACGTGTCCACCGCCGGCATGGCGTTCACGATCACCTGGAACGGCAGCGGCTCGATGAACTCGGCTAGCTTCCCCATGTTGCTCACCGGTAACAGGTATAGACCGATGGCGTAAATGTGCCCAAGAATGATCCAGGCCATAGTGAGAAAGCGGATCCCGTGCAGGCACCCGATTGTGCGAGGGTCTTTGGCGGTGTTCAGCAGACGTGGCACACTGTCGTACAGCGAGAAGGCGCGCACGAGGGTGCCGGCACGCGACGGCGGCGGCGGCACCGAGCCTCGGTACACGGGTAGAGGGTTGCTGCGCCGCCGCGGGAGTGGCAAGCGCAGTTCGTGCGCCGCTGCCACGTCCAGAGCTGTGCAGACGAGCAGAGTTACAGCGACCAGCGCCAGCACGACCACCAGCGCCCAGTCGCCGGCGTCCAGGTCAGCCGACTCTCCCTCGGCGTGGCAGTCGCTGACGGTCGCCGTCAGACCGCTCCCGCCGAGCGACTCTGTCAGGGAGACGCTCACGTCCTCAGTATCACAGGAGGACGGCACGCAGTAGGCGTAGCGCACGGCCGGCGGCGCGAGACCAAGTCCGGCCAGGATGGGAAGTGCTGGAACCAGACTCAATCCGTCGGTAACGCTGGGACTGCTTGAGATCACGGCCGAACAGACCTGGCCTGAGAAGTCGAGCTGCGCAAGGTCCGGGTGATCCGAGGCGTTCAGGTGTACACGTACCGAGCGGCAGCCGTCCCATGAGCCGAGCAGGTTCGTGTTACCGTACAGGAGACCATCGGGGAACTTGCCGGACGCGTCGGCCATCCGGAGGGCCCATAGCTGCGGCCTCAGCCGATTACTCAGTTCCTCAGCGTAGATACGACTGTGGTTTCGACAGAGTTCTCCCGGTACTGCATCCTGAGTCGGCGCTATCCACCCGTGCCAGGTCGTCTGGGCGAGTGTGTCACGAGCTCTGTCTTCCAACCGGGAATCATCATGGACACGGTACTCGAGGCGTTTCAGATGATCGTGTCCCATTCTCGCCACATTCCAAGTTTCAGTCTCATCCGTCTCTAGCTGCAGCGCGCCGGGCAGCAGAGGATGTCTTGACTTTGAATGCTCCTCGCGCTCCAGCTGACGCTCCAACTCCGTTTCTGATCCCTCCACTTGCGGAGGAACGCACACATGCTCCACCAGGCGAGAGATTGTCGATTCCGGTAGATGAGCGTACACCCGGGCTGCGGGGCAGCCGAGCGGCAGTGGATGCACCTGCGCCCAACCGGCCGCCCCACCCTTCACAGCCACCGCAACAACTAGCAGTCCGGCCAGTAACCTAGACTCCATCGTCACCGAGGTCACTGAATGAATACGAACAACGCTACCAGCGCACTGTCTTGGCTTCAGTCTACCGAACGTCAGACTGGCAGACCGTGCAGCCCCATACTGGGTGGTGGCGACGAGCCGAGGCGATAACCAGCGATATCAGGCCGGGGCGGGATTCGATCAGTGTCCTATCTGCAGTTCCGATAGAAAGGTCGTTGACACATGCCGCATGCGGCATCTGTGCATCCGGGGAGAAAGGACGACGTGAATTCGTCACCCTTTGCTGACATCGGAAAACTGAAGAAGCGGTTGTACTTTATGGGTTATAAGATATGGCACTGTGTGCAGGGCAAAATGCGAAATGCGCAATGTGCAGGGTTATGTAGGGGAGCGGGAGAGCGGCCGTACCAGCTTGGTGATTAGTTTGAGTCAGTGTCCGTTTTAGTTTACCTTGGTTTATGTAGGGGAGCGGGAGAGCGGCCGTACCAGCTTGGTGATTAGTTTGAGTCAGTGTCCGTTTTAGTTTACCTTGGTTTTGTTGTTAAAATTGTACGCGTGGGATATTTAGGCAGGGGTCTGAAAGGAGGCCAGCGCGGCGGGAACCGCACGGGCACATCGGCCGCCATCTATGGCCTCGAGGCGGCTGATGTGGGCGTGGCCTACTCGGGCGAGGGACGAGACGAAAGCAGGGGAGAGGAGATCGGGGCTCTTGGTGTCTGACTGCCGTCCGGTACGGACATCGAGCCCCCGACTGCTCTCTGCTGCTGGCTCACCTGGCTCGAGGTAGGTTCCTGTCACGCAGGAATTGATGCTGGGCTCAAAGCACATCCCATAGTTAGGATAGGAGCACCGGGGTGGAGGTTCGTAGGTAGTTTCGCGCGTCGGTAACCGTTAGGGTAGTGATAGGGTAGAAACTTGCGGAAACGGAAATAATCGGTCGTCTCGGATCCAATTCAATGCGCAGTCCTTTGTGATGTTCGGTTTTACAATAAATGGGGTTTGAATTGACCAGATGCATTTGGAGATGGGTTGAGTCGGAGGAGAACGGAGGTTGAGCGGAGTCAGATTCATTCGGTGCCCAGTTAGTCATTGTGGCTCAGGAGCTTAGCTCCAAACCCAGGGTTCGCTACAAACCGCGTGTGCCCCAAAATGGCGGAGTTATTCACCTGAACCACGATGCATAGTTTAGTACATTTAGTTCAGAGGACAGTGGCCCGGGTGGCAGACGGGTAAAAGGCTGGGAGACGTCCCGGCCGACCACTGATCCTGTAGAGTAGAGTAGAGATCCGGAGGGGAGGTAACGAAGGGCCTACAGGACCGGCCTAAGCCCCCCTCACATAATGGTGCTAATCGGCCGGGAACGTTCTTTCAAGTGAAATTCGGCTGAACAACGTTTTTCTCCCGGTAGGTGTCAGGCACGCCATTAGGTACGTAAGCCTTAAACTGCATTATCTAGTGAAACGCCCTGCCCGTAAAGTCGCCGGAATCGCTTGTTAGTACGTGGTTTTGTAAATCTTAAACTGTTTAAACAAACGGCTAACAGTAAGTCTAAAAAAACGTTTTTCATTCTTGCTGGTATGAGGATACGCCGCTAACGTAAGACTTAAACTGCATTTGGCGAAACGGCCTGCTGTAAATCCAGTGCGCTTGCTCAGTACGTGATTTTGTAAATCTTAAACTGTGTAAATCAGACGGCTGCAGCTGTTAGACGCCCCCACCGAATTGATCTTGAAAGAACGGTCGATTGAGCCATTCTAAATTTATTCAATTTACTCCGCTCAATATCCGAACTTCTGGGAACAAACGAGCCAAGCCAGCAGCCAAAATTGATAGGCAAAAGTTTGCGATGACTGCAATAAAAATAGCAACACTAAGAAAACCGAAATGCAGCTTGCGAGTTGCAAATATGCTGTGTGAATGAGCAAATACGATATAGTTGACAATAGCCGTTTTTACGACGGCCATCGGGTACACATTTGGTTCACAATTTGTCATAATTGATGGTCAAATTAGATTAAAGGTGTTTCTTCGTAGCTATTAACTAAGGTAGCGCTGATTATTTATATGCCTTCTTTGTCAAACTATCAGACCATCAACTAAAAACACCAATGAATTCAAAAATATTAAAATATTTGCTGTAAAGGAGATGTGGTACGGATTTGATCAAATTAGATCTTTTCGCCAAATTGCCCGTCGTGAAAACGGCTAATATAGTTGAGAGTGAAGTGTGGGTGTGCGGGCTGTCTCTGAAACTGAGGCTGTCTGGAATTGAGGATGTGTAAATTGCATGTGAGAGTAAAAAAAGGGTGTGGCATGTGAGAGTTAAAATGTGGAGAATGCAACTGTGTGGGAGTAAGAGTGTAGAATGAGAGGTGAGATCGGATCAAAAATGAGAATTAGTCAGTCTGTTTGCTTGTGTGGTGATTGCACTTGGATGAGTGAAAGGTGCAGATGTACGTGCGTGAACTGAGTGAAAGAGGAGAATGCTTCTGTGACACGGTGAGGTGACTGTCTGAGAATTGCGAGTATGCCGAAAGAATGGACGAATAATCTGACATACGCACTGCAGTGAAACGGGCGACACATTTCCTACTTGACGTTTACAAAAGTGTCCTTAATTGATCAAAGTCTGTTCAAAGTTGAAACCTTGTTATGTCTTGAAATACCCACGAAGTTAAGGATTAATTGCACAAAATATAGAGCTTCTACATTCATTTCTAGAGAGATGATCTTCCTTATAATGGCCGCGTAGTTTACCGTGATTTACAACGATTTTCTTTCCACACGATTTAGATATTGTTGGTTGTCAAAGATTAAAATTAAAATTAAAATTCATAAAGGTTAGATCCCTCGTATGCTTGGGAAACATTAAAAATTTGATCTACCCGCGGCCGGAGACAGAAAAGTTTTGCTCCTGGCACATGCCTTAATTGAATTTTACTATGTAAATTCGCGTCTGGAGAAAAACGGTATAATCAAATGCTGTGTCGATTCTTCTTATCACAAAGAGCCGCGTCAGCCAGTTAACAGAGATCTGCGACCACAAAAACACCCGAGACAGACGGGGTAAGAAGTGGTGACCTCCACATCTGTACTTTCACTCGCCACTTTTTGTACGGCAAGCGGGCCGCTCTCGATGTCGTTTTGCGGCTGGTAGGACGTTTTTTATCGAATCGGCCATGACATCAAGGTTTGCGTCTAGACAGTGAGGATCAAACAAAAGTCACTGTTACTGCCTTAACTGAGGCACCATCCTTCGGCCATATTGAGACACAGTCTGTATGAAACCCATTTAAATAATCAGCTTTAATCGATGCTTCCTTTTCAGTAATCCGTAACAATGCTGTGTAAATCCATTGTCAGCGTGATGTCGGGTGATGTAAAGAATATCCATAGCTGAGAAAAACTCTTAACGTGGTCGATTCAAATCTAGCACATAGTGAAGTCGAGCAACACCAAATTCAGCATTCCAGTTTGATCCGGTTGGCCGATTGTCAGGCGACGTGCGCACCAAGGGGCCGCAGCCGGCCGGTGAACAAAGATCCACGACAAAAAACCGCCCCAGACAGACGGGAAGTGATGTTGTGACCTTCCAGCCGCTGGTGGCACGGGCCGCCCTCAACGCTTTTTTTGCGACCAGTAAAATGTTTAGGCGGGTCGACCTTGGCTTTAGGATACGCATCACGGCAGTGAGGATCAGATCCAACACGACTCGGTCTGACCCTGGACGTCACCTCCAGACCCGGACTCTCACGGCAAGGACGAGACAGGCAAAAAGGCTAAACCAAAGTAATACACAAACAGAAACGGTCACCACCCACGGTCGTCGTTCTCACCAGACGTGTGCGATTACCGAGATGAATCAGGCGATTGAAGAAGCTCACATTGGTATTAGCCGGCTAAATTACGTCAAAACTAGAAAGCGCAGGCCAGAAGCGTACGGAACAGTGTTGGAACTATTGGCAAAACACATTTGTAATTTAAGATAGTATTTATATGAAATGTATTGAAGAAGTTCAAATTTGTTGGAAAGGCTCTCATAGATCAATAATGTCATGCTTGTAGAGGTCTAGTTAGAGTTACACAAGCTAGTGGCGGATCAAATATCATTAATTAACAATAAATGCTTCGTTATCTTTATGACGCTGAATTAGACTTTGTAATGCGGTGATCAATTAGGAATTAGGCATTCGGCATAACTGACATGTGCGAGAGGAACCGATTGTGGGTGTACTGGCGAGTCGTATGTACCTACTCTTATTATGCCGCGTCATCATTTAACGTGGCGTCCAACCCGTTTAAATCGCTCATCTGTGTAGCTCGCTTACTGGAGGGCGCTGTCTCGACCCAAGGTCACCATAGCCACTGAGATGACAAGCACAGTGGGCCAAGGGCGGTGCACTCTGAACCCGAGCACGTTTGTGGCTGGCTTTATTTGGAATATTGGGAGGAGGAGTCAGTGCACGACTATCCATTCGCGTTATAACTATATGCAAATAGGAATAACATACGAATACTTCGCAGTCCTTTGTGATGTTCGGTTTTACAATAAATGGGGTTTGAATTGACCAGATGCATTTGGAGATGGGTTGAGTCGGAGGAGAACGGAGGTTGAGCGGAGTCAGATTCATTCGGTGCCCAGTTAGTCATTGTGGCTCAGGAGCTTAGCTCCAAACCCAGGGTTCGCTACAAACCGCGTGTGCCCCAAAATGGCGGAGTTATTCACCTGAACCACGATGCATAGTTTAGTACATTTAGTTCAGAGGACAGTGGCCCGGGTGGCAGACGGGTAAAAGGCTGGGAGACGTCCCGGCCGACCACTGATCCTGTAGAGTAGAGTAGAGATCCGGAGGGGAGGTAACGAAGGGCCTACAGGACCGGCCTAAGCCCCCCTCACAGTTATATGGCTTTGTTGGGAAAACAAGCATACACTACTTAGAGCACATCATGGGTGCCGGGTATAGCACGAAATGAGCAGCACGGCATCGAACATTTCAAAACGACTGATCAGAACCAATCCAAGTAGTAAGTACACTTTACACTGAAATTTACTCACTTATGCCTCGGTCTCTTATTGATACCGATAGCAGATACACCAACATGCGTATAACAACGGTATCAATTTAACTGTAGTCCCCCTAATCCTGTTCAAACAACGCATGCCACTGGTGTCCTAGTCAAGGCACCAGTCTCCGATAAAAGGCTGACTCAGCTGCCCACGTGAAGGTCAATGAACTCCACACGAGATGCCGACTGATGAGCGGTGACTACACGGCCTCCTGTTAGGGATTACGGCTAATGCCCGGGTTATCGATACAGATAAACGGCTTGGTTGCATCCTCAAAGCTGATAGTCTGGTTCAGGAAGGCTTTATTGTTCAATGAAGCGATTAAATATATCGTAGATTCACATGACGAGTGAAGTCAAGCAGCCTATCAAGAATTAAGTTGCATGTGCTTTCTTTGAATTCTCATTTCTCATTCTCCTGGTAAAAAGAGATGATTGGTAAGGGACCATGACAGATTAAAACGTAGATATGACGCATGATTCATTCTGTATTTCATCGCATCCCCTGCCGTTTTCACCCACGACCAAAGACGAACATCCTGCCACCATTCCGTTAGAAAAGTCTCTAACGTTACCGGGGCTGTCACCAACCGACACCAAAGACTGGGCGGCCTCCCGGCCAGAGCGGAGGTCCATCCCGGTACCAGGCACTTCCAAATCACATCCAACGTGTCACCGCTAACACTTTGAGTTACATGGCTCCTCCTAGGTTCAGTATCCTGCAAGGTTGCATTCAAAAATAAAATCACTAGGCCACACGCCACATAAACGAAGCTCAGGATTGTATCAAATACACTAATTATGTCAACATCATACACTTCATGAAGGCCGAGCACATTGACCAGGAACAGTAACACTTGAAAAAGTCTCAATCACTGCTCTCGACTATCACATCTGCGGGCGTACCTGGCAGAAACAGAGTACTGACGAGTTCACCTGACCGAGTACCGAACTCTGATATCACTGTTAGGAGCGTGTCCACTCCCTCGTCTTCTCCCGAGACCGAACCAAACCAAATGGAGTCCAACCACCCGCCGACACCGAAGGACGGGACCCTCCACAGCACGCGCACCGTTCCCATCACAGCCTTCAGGTACGATGAAAGCAACGCTGAACGAAACAGGCCAGACTGCCGCGTCCGTCTCACGTCAGTGTTTGATTTGTTCAGCGCGGTTGGCCGCTGGCGGTGCCACCTATCGGCGAGTATGCGAACCTGAGTGTTATGTTGCCCTCAGAAGCAGAAAGCGCTCCAGCAGCTGAGGATGATTTTGTAGTCCGCTGGTGTCCTTGACCACCAGTTGTCGGGCATATGCGTCCTTAATAAGCTCGTTCCAGTCGGCATTCTTGGACTGAAATAAAACAGTGGCACAAGGTGACATAAAATGCCATTGCAGTGACTGGCTCTACAAGTGCAAGCACACGGAAAGGTGGTAAAAGGTGCAAGCTATAATGCGACGATCTGATAGGCAGAAAATCAGACAGGTTATAAAAGCAATCAACACGACGAGTACAAAGTCGCACCATGCTCAATATGTCAGCAAACGTAAACATATCAAGCATCTACAATCAAATGCATTGCAATAGCGATATAATTTGTCAGGTGTTCAAGCGTTGAAAAAAAAACACTTCATGACAACATCAGCATGTAACAAAGTGGGAAGACACACAGATAGACAGACATACAAACGGATGACAGACAAGCAGACATACACACAGACATGAAAACAGAGGATCTACAGACAGAGTCGCGTTCGACAGACATACAGCCTCTGCGCCCGTCCGGGCCGACACTCACCAGCGTTCCGAGGTCGCCGCAGATGTAGAGGCAGTTCTTGGCGCGGGTGAGGGCCACGTTCAGTCGACGCAGGTCACCGAGGAAGCCCAGGTCGCCGACGAAGTTGGAGCGCACGAAGGAGAGGACCACCACGTCCCTCTCCTGGCCCTGGAATCCGTCCACTGTGCCCACCTGCACGGCGAGCGTCTTGGCCGGGCTGCCGGACAGAGGCGACACGCGAGGTCAGCCCGCGGGGCGCGGACAGCCGGCAATGGCGGATATTGAGACTTTGGAGGGTAACGATGCCGATGGCTTGGCTTAGAGGATGGTTGCGACTGATCAGCACTCCTCAGCGCCTTCAGATGTATATCTTGTTATGTCTTTTTATGCGGATATTCTTACATTAACGCCTATCTTTTTGGGGACGGCGCAGGCAGATTCTTCCTTCGCTCTTATATGGAATCGTCACCTTGATGAGGAAAAACAATGAAATTATTTTTCACAGAAGCAGCTGTTTATCTCTCTAAAAAATTATGGTGTGAATCATGTAAACAGTATCAAGTTTCCAGCATTTGCTGCACGTGCTAACAGTGTATTACTGTTATATCCCACCTTTGCCCGAGCTGTTCCTGTATGAGCTTCCTCTGGTGATTGTACGGGGTGATGACGGCCACGGACGGTCGCTGGGCGCCCGGGCACAGTCGAGCCACGGTCTCCACCACCCGCACCACCAGCGCCGCCTCGCGGTCATTGGAGAAACCACTGTGGACGAGCACAGAAGGCGGTTAGCGACGGCGAATAGATGGGGAGTGACTGGCACGGGACAGAAACCTTCACATTTACTGAGACAGGTAATATGTAATGTGCACTGTACTCATCACTTGCAGCTAGTCTGGAGCTTATACTTCCATGTCCTTCTAATGTTCAATAAACTTGTGACCAGCTCCGTTATCCTTGAAGCTTAGTTACTCCCAGGCCACCCAAATCTGAACTTCACCTCTCACCCGGGCTCCGTGCTGATCACTGAACCCTACTGGTGTCTGCTCTCAGTTCTGACCCCCCCCCCCCTCTCCTCCCGGGGGCCCAGTGACCTCTCAGTGACCAATACTGGTTTCCACTCTCGGCTCTGACCCATTCTGACCCGTTGACCTCTATCAATCGGTGACTGGTTCCAGTTCTAACCACCCCGGTCCCAGTTCTACCCTTTCCCCTTTACTAACCCCTGTTGGTGGCGCGTCTCAGTTCTAACCATCCCGATATCAGTTCCGTCTCTCCCCCTGCTGCTGACCCCTGGCAGCTGCCAGCTGGTGGCGCAGCTGGTGGCACCAGCTGGTGGCGGGTACTGACCCCTGCTGGTGGCGCGTCTCAGTACTCCCAGCTGTCTGCAGCAGCAGGTAGGGTCGCAGCCTCTGCAGCGCGGCCGGCGGCGGCGGAACGCACGTCTCCAGCTGTCCGCCATAGAAGCGTGTCGACGGCCATCGGCAGATCTCCAGGTTCATGCGGTACTGCTGGCGCAGCATTACCACCGGCGAGGCGCCGTGAGACGAGTCGAACACGGTGTTGAGTCGCTCCAGCAGCGAGCGGCCCAGACCGAGGTCAGCGGCCACCTGCACGGAGAGGCGGTCAAATCAAGGGGATGATACACGGTTCACACGGTCGGGGTGTGGATAGAGACTTCGCAATAGGCGCATACACGGTCACTTTGAGGACGGTAATTTGCTACCTGGGGCTGATGTGGGAAGGGGGAGTTCACAATATACACAGACGCCATAACTTGGGAGTGGTTAATGACTACCTGGGGCTGACGTCAGTCGCAGAAAGCAGTGACGTCACGTGTGACGTGACGTACCTTTGACATCACCGTGGGCGGCAGCTGATTGTGGTCGCCGACCAGTACCAGCTTGGTAAAACCGTATTCAAACGGTATGAACGCCTCCGGTTCAATACACTGTCCAGCCTCGTCCACTATACAGCAGGTGAACGGGTTCTGCTCCCTGAAAACGCAGCCAGACACACTTCAGAAGGGACACGATAAGGCAAACAAACAGTACTCAATGTTCGTTCAGTGCAATCACTTTGACTTACAAGGTAGGCGCCGAATGATAAATCCGATTCGAACAAAGCAATAGATCAACACAGCAATGAAAATATACATAACATTGTAATAGGTAATTAACAAATCAGTATGCGTTTTCAGTGATACCAGTTTTGAGCACAGGTATAGGTAGGTAGCGGTGCGGTTCACAGGTTACGAGCACAGGTTAAGATAGCGGTTCACCGCGCCATGGTCCTCCAGTCCTCACCTTCCGAACACGGCGGTCAGCTGGTGGCCCAGGCTGCTGGCCAGGGTGGCCGTGATGACATTGGAGTACTTGAGCAGCTTCAGGCGCTCCTCGTTGCGGAGCTTCTCACGCCTGTCGGGTGGTAGCTGGAAGTGGAGAGCGACACGGTCACTACACACTGGATAGGGAAAGTGGCAGTCCTGCTGTTGAATAATGAGGAAACCCCCCGACTGTCAGAGAGGGTTTCTCAATCTCGAAAGTTTCGAGGGAGAAGCTCACAGAGGTGCTGATTCGCGTCGGCCAGAAAGGAATAACTTCAAGCACAAGTTCATGATGCACGTCCCTTCACATCGTGTCTGCATGAAATCGAAATGTCCCAGAATGCTCGTCATCCTAGTTAATTTAGTAATATATTTTTTGTATTTTAATACCACTGGACCTGATACTTTTTAACAAGTTAAAAAATCACCCTGTATTTCGAAGAAATTTGAGGCAAAAGCATCATTGGGCAGCAGCCAACAGAGTCACTCGCCTACAACTTGTTTGTAAGCCAAACGAGAACGATGAAATCGTAAAATACTTTAAAGAAACATAACTAGTTATTTGCCACCAAGGAAACTCTAACGCGAAGGCATGGAAATCCCACAGTAGTATTAGTGGCTATCTAAGAGAGCGGAACATCTACCACCAGATTAAAAAAAAAGCCGTAGCGATAGTGGGACAATGTCGCCCACATTCAGAAGGCGGAAGCGACAAGCGTTCTCCCTAAATTTAGAAGGCGGCGGCAGCATGATTTGCTCCCATCGCTAAAAGCACCTGACTGAGGAGAAATTTGCGCCGTTTGCTGCACGCCGGCGCAACGGTCGTCTGCCGGTCGGCACAGGAGCACGCGGGCGGCCCGGTACAGGCGGGCGACCCAGCACACGGGCGCACCTGGGAGCACACAGCAGCAAGCCGGCCATCACCATAGCTGTGCCGGCACCCAGACAGGCCACGCGAGAACACCAATCATACCCGGCACTCGTCAAGCAGGGTTACTTATGCAAACCAAGCGCCAAAACCAATCAAGTGCAACAAAACCAGCAACAACAACGCTGAACCGAAAACAATGCACACCGAGCATCAATCCACCGCATCCACCGCTATGTTACGAAACCGCAACACACCGATAGGGTGCGTAGTACGAATACAAAACCGACACCAGAGATAAATAAGCTCCCTCATGTCGTGTCTACCATTCACACCACACTTCCCACGCTAGCACAGCAACACCGATAAAGTACCAAGCGTGCATTGCAAGTGGTGAGTATCTTACCGTTGCACATTCTTCCACCAAGGTGGGGTTAATATGGGGGCCAGGATGGGTAAGCGGAAAGGGTGTACCGACTACCGACAGAAAAGGACGGGGTAAACTCTCCAGCGAGATGAGTGTGGGCTGTGGAATCCCACCCGTGCCTACCTCGGGCGTTCGCAGCACCTTCTCCAGGCGCTCTGTCAGCTTTTTGATGACATCCTTCATCCTGTGCGCGTCTGATGGATCTCCAGAGGCCGACAGCTTCTCATTTGTCACGGTGATCCTTCTCTTCAGATCCTCCGCCTGACGATACGATTAACGACAGTCAGCCGCGGCCATAGTGCTGGATCCCGCCAGCGTGTGTCGTGTGCATCGGTTTTTGATACGGAGTGTTGAAAGTTATGTTTGTATTAGGCTCAGTGATGAATATCAGATGCACATCGAGATGGAGTGGGGCTTTCACTCCGCTCAGACCTTCAAAAATCTCCAATGCCTATAGCACGGAGTATATAGTCTACGACATAGTATGTCGTAGACTATATATTCCGTGCCTATAGAGCACTTTTCCACCCGGGAGGGGACCTTTTCTCGCACTCACCAGTGGTGGGTGTACCAGTACCCACATCCCGGCGCCCGTACGCACCTCTCGCTTGTTCTGCTCGTTGACCGGGAACATCTTTTGCAGGCGGATGTCCACCCCTTGGTCCAGCAGATTGTTGAGGCTGTACGGACGGACGTCCTCAGAGATCAGCTCGTTGCGTCCGAACCGAACCACGCGTAGCTTCACCCGGGTATCTGTGGCAGCGCCGCGGGCAGGCGGTTCAATCGTCGCGTGAACGGCAGACAGATCCGCTCCACGTGACACTACACACACATACAGCAAAGGCATTGACATGCCTACTCACATGGGAGAGACCAGACGTGTAATGTGGGAAGTAAGGTACCGACGTAAGCACAATAAGCCACTTTCAAAGACTTCTCAGGCAGTTGCAAGAAAAAAAAAACTGACGTAGGGTCTTTTTTACTTGGCATAAAAATATTGCCCAAAAATATCATACAACAACGTTACCTGAAACTGAATTAACCAACCTAAAATCACCGATAAATGCACACCTATGCAAAACTATAAATACCGCATAACGCAAATCAAAATAGCCTCTCCCATGCCTCTCCCAGCTAGGCCCACGGTTAGCCATTCCGTCTCAGACGTGCGGTCACCGACCTTCTTCGAACTGTCGCCTGCCGGCCACCAGCCGGCGGGTCAGCTCATCCACTGCCAGGTTGGAGGGGGCGCAGAGCAGCAGACGCCCGGAATCAGCCCCCGCCGCCAGCACGTGCTTCACCACACAGGCAATGACCTCCGTCTTGCCTGTGCCTGCCGGGGTGGGTCGGGTGGGGAGGGGTGTATGTGTGAGTTGTGACAACAGCCTACGTACCAGGAGAGCCTTGCACAGCGAACTACGATGAAGCACAGCGCTTCATTCTGTAGATTTACACTCTGTTAACATATAGTGAATATGGTTGTCTTAGGCGGACGGTGAGGACGAACGAAACTAGAACCATCAGTCAGCTTCTCCAATCATCACCCAGTGAGCCAGAATCTCTCACCCAGTGACCCAGGCCCTATTGACCCACCTGGCGGACCGTGGATGACGCAGACCTTGGGCGCCTTGGGCTCGCCCCGCACGGCCGCCGACACGCTGCACACCGTCTCCCGCTGCACTCGGTTCAGAGAACGGAGCTGACAGAACACACAGACAGACGCACAACAGTCAGCTACACGCGCATACCCATCGGAGACGAGACGGGTCTCTTCTGCTTCTACGGACAAACATCGGATCTCGGATTGGTTGGTAGAGCCGCCGACCTATTGGCAAGAGGCGTATCATCCGAGAAACAATCACGCTCGTCGGAGTACTGCATATTCGTGAATGGAACATACGCCCTCGCCCGCACTGTATCCTCACCAGGGCGGTGTGCAGCTGTTTGGCGGGCGGCGGGGCAGGCGGCAGTTCGAACACAGCCCGACAGTCGGCCGGTCGCAGTACAGCATTCAGCAGCGGTGAGCTGCGCAGCTGGTACAGTGCCGAGGAGAGGCGCAGCTCCGAGTGGATGTAGCTCACCGACTGAGAGGGGGGGGGGGTCAGTGTGAGGTCACTAGGTCACTGTGAGGTCATAGCGAGGTCTCAGACTGTGTGAGGTGTTTGTGTATAGCGACGGGGAGAGTCGCAGCTCAGAGTGGATGTAGCTCACCGACTGGCGGGAAGGGGGCGGGGGGGGGGGAGGTCAGTGTGAGGTCACTGCGAGTGAGTTGCTTGGATACCAGCCGTGTCAAGGATGCATTACGGCCGGCCAGAGATATAGATTAGGCTCAGTGATAGCAAGTTTTTGTCTCATGGCGAGATGCAGAATAGGCAGTGGTGCCCAGACCAGGGCATTAGCTCACGATTAGGATAAAACGTCAAAAATAGAACATTTTAACTTAACCCAATTTGTCTTGGCAAACAAAAGACACTGCTTTGACATTTCATCTTTCGGTCATACCATTCGTCCAATTCCAGCTCCCAATCACACTTGTGGAGCGGCCCCTGGCCCGCCATCTATCCTGCAGGAGCGCTCACCGTCAGTTTGACAGGCCGGGCCCAGTCGACCCCGTCGAGGGTGTCCCGGTGGCGCAGCAGCAGCGTGTAGCGGGCCACCTCGCACGAGGACAGGTCGTTGGGCAGCAGACCGGGGAACTGCTCCCCCCACCGCTGCCAGGAGGAGAGGAGGGGAAGGTGTCAGACGTCGTCACCATTGTCAGATGTTGGATTTAGATCGATACAGCAGATGGGCAGAGTTTTCAGATCGCCGCAGACAGAGTCTTTCACCGCAAGCTGACTGACAATTCTCCCTGTCTTGCAGTTGTAGGGATAGCACGACAATGTCTGTTTGCGAGCATGCTATGTCGCAACATGTCATGATAGCGAACGTATAATAAACGGTGACCATTGCTAAGAGATTATTCGCTGTGGCACATAGCATCCATACAAGGCAGTGCCACCACCGTGCCACCCAAACCATCCATATCCCCCACCTCTTCCCTTCACGTCCCAAGCCCCACCACCTATCGTATCCCCATACCCCAACATAGTTGTTTGTTAATTGGGGCTTTAGGGCGCGCCGACTACTTAGGTCATTTTGCGCCCATCCCATACCCCACCATCACCGCCGATATCAGTACGGGGACCCGCAGTTGCTACTGTACACGAACCCCAAGTCTAACCGTCTGTCCTGTCCAGTAACTACCGATAACATTGATATCGACTGCCGGTCCCTGTACAAGAGCAGCTGAGGTTTTCTGTGCGTGCCCTCTGACAGCTTATCGTTGTTCCCGGTGAGGGTGCTGGGACAATTTACTCAGGGTCGCTGTACAGTAGCAACTGCTGGTCCCCGTAACTCACCTCCCAGCGTCACACTTACCCTCTTGAACAGTTCAACTCCGCCGGGCGGAGCCCACCGAAAGTCCTTGACATAGGCAAACACCTGTACGAGTCGGTTCCGTCCCGTGGCCGCTGCCGTGGCGAGCTGAGGTAGATCCAGGCAGGCGAGAGCACCGAGCTCCGGGTGGCACCGCGAGCGGGTGGATACCACAGCTGGAGAGAGGGAGAGAGAGAGAGGGAGAGAGTGAGAGAGAGAGAGAGAGAGAGAGAGAGAGAGAGAGAGAGAGAGAGAGAGAGAGAGAGAGAGAGAGAGAGAGAGAGAGAGAGAGAGAGAGAGAGAGAGAGCGAGAGAGGGAGAGAGGGAGAGAGGGAGAGGGAGAGGGAGAGGGAGAGAGAGAGAGAGAGAGAGAGAGAGAGAGAGAGAGAGAGAGAGAGAGAGAGAGAGAGAGAGAGAGAGAGAGAGAGAGGCGGAGCAGAAAATGAATGGAGATGATATAAATATGACAGTAATTGTGAGTAAAAACAATAAATCTATGTACATCTACGTAAATCTATGTAAATCTATCTTGCATATATGCAACGCGATATAGCCAGAGTTGTGCTATCGTCAGCCGTAACAGTCCATACGGCCGGAGTGTCGGCAGTTCAGAAAGAGCGATCAGAGACACACAACACTAACAGCGGTGAGACACAACAGCAGCACATCCGCAGAAACAGCTCCCCGCCCGCACATCCATCACAAGTAGACTGATAACGCGGCCACACATCACACACACAACCACATCCGGCGTCTCCATACACAAGTTTATCCCCTTACCTTCGCAGACGGCGACCACCAGCGAGCGTGAGACGCCGCCCAGCTGGGGCAGTTCCTCTGTGGCCAGATGTTCCACGCGCAGGAACACCCTGTACACACAGAGACACGGGAAGGCAGGTAGGGCGCAGTTAGCGGCTGTTGGTGGAGTGGTGGTACGGAATTGTATTGTTTTAGTGGCACTAACACAATAAAATTTCGCCAAAGGCATTAACTTAGTGCTGTGGTACTAGTCCGGGTAGAAAGAAAAGTTGTGATGCGTCAGTGGGTAAGTTCGTCAGATTGTTGAGCGAAGAAACCAATTATGAGATAAAAATGGAAGTGAGGAAGAGAAGGAAAGGTGAAGAGATAGTAAGTACAATGCCACAACATCACAAAGCTCCAAGACATGTCAGAATGTCTCGCACTCACATTAGCATGGCTTGCCATGTCATGCCATGTTAAAAAGGCGCAAGTAGCGTTAGCATTTTTTGTTGAGCACACACGTAAGCAAAGCTCTGGAAACGAGAGCACTTAATTCACCACATGTGAAAGCTGATGGTAGGACTAGTTAGTTACAACGACGTTACGACATTGGTACAGAACCATCCGCTCAGGGAATGCCTGCGACCCCAGACGAATGAACATCTTTTCCCGGACAGACAGGCGGCGCTGCACGTTGTTCTCGAGCAGATATTTTATACCCTGGACAGCAGACGTTTCGTGTTCCAGAAACATTTCTAGCCCGCGTCAATGTTTCGTGTGCCGGAGGAACAAATATATCTGTTGCAATGGACTGACGATGTCTCTATCCCTCGTATAAGACAGATGGCGTTCCCTGTTCTGGGCAGACGTTTCTTGCATTGAACAATTAAACTTCTATCGCGTTCCAGCGCGGCGCGAGACCCTCAGAGGTCAGTTTGTGGTAGGAAATAATTAGGTCTGCTGAGATTAGGAACTTTCTTTTGAAAGTAAATAGAGCGACTGCAGCCTTCCTGCAGACGATATGTAGGGGGTGTCGTTGATTTCAGAAGGGGACGCCGACATCGCGGCCAGGCAGTGTCCGGGGGCAGCCAAGAGAGTGCACATGGCGCATGCGCAGGACCAATTGTGTGTGTGTGTGGGGGGGGGGGGGGGTGAGCTTAGGCGGCGATAGGCGGCAGGCGCTAAGGCATAGCGATATGACCGTGAGCTGTGGGCTATGAGCTGGTGAGATATGACAATGAGCTACTGAGCTCTGATGACTTCGCGATGGCGCTCGAATTTGGCCATTGTCAGGCTTCTTCTTATTCGGCGCCACAGGTTTAGGTGGTCTCTTGAAAAAAACGGTGATAACTCAGAGCAGAATATAGCTAAAGACATCGGAATTTCACCATTGTAAAGAAAAAAAAAACAATGTATGTGATGGTATTTCAAAAATGCATGCACGTGCAAAAACTAGCATTGCTGAATGCACTTCCATTATTAAATAGTCAACCTAGTATAATAGTGAAACAGCCACACTCCGAAAGTCATCAGTGTAAGCCAGCAACAAACACGGACAGGACAAATGTGTTCTGATGAGTACACCTCACTCGAATCTCCGACCACACGCTTCCCGTCGAGGCAGCTGTGGATGTGAGTGTGACTGCGCAGCCAGCGGTGCAGCTCAGACCCGACGGCACTGCCGGCGACTGACGGAGCCATCCAGTGCAGCAGTCTAAAGCGCGCCATGCCCCGCTGAGCGGCGAGCCGAGCGCTCCCCCGGCGCTCCGAGCCCTGACCTTTCGTCGGCGGGCCGCCAGCTCAGGGACCTCGAGTAGCCCCGCACCGTTTCACTGACCAGGCCCACTTGCAGGGGAACACTGCCGCTGGCAACATGGGTGGAGTCCGTTTAGCGCGGCAGAGCCAGCCGGCCGACCGACCTCTAAACTCCAGGATAAGTTGCAGCGGTCCCGGGACCCAGAGTATGGTATCTATGCAATCTCAACGACAAAGAAAGCAGGCATATAGTACATCCACCAGGCAAGTTAGGTCGATTTTATCACTTTTTGTTGCAAGCGTTCGTAAAAGTACACAGTAAGAGAGGCCAGACAAGCTCAGAAGTCACTAAGTTAAACTAAAAGCTGATATTTACAAAGTACGGATGGAGCGGCTGCAAGGAATTATGGGCGCCAATTCTTTCCAGAGTTGCTTATTGACCGAATTTTTTCACTCACTACGTTTCCATGACACGTCTAAATCGATTTAGCGAAATTTCACGTGCGTTTTTCTCGGAAACTATTTACCTTATGGAAAAAATGATCGTATCTATGGTTTCAGCTAGCAGTAGCACCTAATCCTATATTTACATTTTTAAATTATGCCTAAATGCTATGATGGAGCAAATCCATTTTTCAAAATCGGCTTAGCTTGTGCCATGGAAACGTAGCCACTACCTACGTCTTCGGGTTCAAAATATGTACACGAATTAATGGATTCTGATGACCATTAGATAAGACAGACCAATCCATACCATCATACAACAGCGGATGCACTCAGATTAAGAAGACAATCGCAAAGAGTAGCCTATGCAAGCGATTTCTAGCTTCCTAACTACGATGCGGGCAAATTACTTTTATTTTACAGTCCACTTAACGTGACATTAATCAATGTAACGCCTAGTGAACGCAGTTTCCATTGCTGCGAAGCCTCTCTTCACAATACCAGCCATGCGCAGACGTTATATTTTAATAAATTGACAGAGGCTCTCTGATTCGTTTCCCACACGAATAAATCATCAAAAACTAACAGGCACTTCATGCCAACACAAAATGGAACCAAAATATGACACTCTATCCCCCACCCCAATCAGTACTCACTCTTTGGCCTGCATGCGCCGCTGTTTCCAGTCCTCGGAGACCTTGTACCACAGCTCGTGCAGCAGCAGCGGCTCGAAGACGTGTACCAGGTCCTCCAGCGAGCGGTACGACAGGGCGGTCGACATCAGCGTCATCTCGTGCGCCACTGGCGGCGGCCCCTTCAGCCTGGCCTCCTCCTGTGTGACCGGGACACACGGGAGGTCAACGACGAGTAATAGGGTTGTAAGGTCCAGAGGCGAGCGGGAACATTCGACATTCGCTGGATATGGCCTGAGAAACTGACAATTAACAGAGAAAGGAAAAAATATTACAGTAAACTATGAACAGGCAGTCACATAAAACAAACTTGATGGCTGAACATAGTATGATCCAAGTTTGATGAAACTTATCTTTGGACACTGAACAGTCCCGACCCACTTTCAGTTACCCAGAACAAAAAGCCCCCCCCCCCGCACACCAACCGCCTCAAGACGTGCGCTCATCACTATTCTAAGGCGCCAAATATACTATAATATTGTACATTCCCGGCAACGCCCAAGGCATGGCACCGCCCGGTCGGCGGTAGCGCCAAATCTCACCTGCAGCCAGCCGTAGCGCCACGACAGAATCAGCCACAGACACCAGTCCGAGGGCCGAGATCGACTCGGCGGCCGCGGCGGGATCATCTGAGCGCGACAGATCTCGTTATCTGGCGCAAACTTGACGCTCTTCCGAGGCGGCCGAGTATGCGCCGAGCGCACTGAAGACGGCCCAGGTACTGGAGGGGGTGCCTTGACGTTGGCAGCGGCGGGGAAGGACGGACCCGCAGAGGCAGAGGGGGCGCCAGAGGGGGAAGCAGAGGGGGAGGCAGCTTGGCCAGACGGCCCCGCTACAGGCGAGGAGTTACCGGTCGGTGATGATGTCGCCTTGGCCGCGTTGAAGGCGGCCAGGCTGGGCGGCACGCGGTGTGCCTGACGCCGCTGTGTGATTCCCGGCACGTAGTCGGGCACCAGATTGTCGGCATCGTCAGGAGTTGGAGGTGTCCGAGCGGCCGCGCTGTCTCCGCTACCCTCGCCGCCGGGCTTTTTCTGCCCTGAAGATGGTCGGTAGGCGGGACTTTTCCGATTGAAGGAGACCTTTTTCAGCTCGGCAGCGAGTTGTTCACCGCGGCTCCGTCCTGTCATCTTCACCTTCGGCTTGGCCTTGGGTCGGTCGGGCTCGGCGGCCGGCTGGCCGGCGGCGCCGCGCTCAGCTACCGTCTTCAGTTGCTGCCGGCGCCTCCGCCGCAGCTCCTCGTCGCTGGGCGGGGGCGGGGGCGGGGGCGGAGGAGGCTCCGGCGCGGGCTCATCCTTTGACGAGCGGCGCCTCTGCCGCCGCTGGCGGCCGGCCGGCGGGCGCTCTTCCACCGAGGCGGAGCGGTCGAGCGCCTGCCGACGCCGGCCGCGCGGCGGCAGCGGCTGCGCGTCCGTGCTGGCGATCAGCGGGCCAGTTGGAGGAGTAATGTGCACCGTCCGGGACCCGATCGTGATGGCTCGCTTCTGGGGCACGGCCGGACGGCGCGGGGTCACCGGCGGAGCTGGCGGCGGCTCCGGCTCGGCGGCGGACGATGACAGGCGGCCGTCCAGATCAGGCTCAGCGGCGGACGATGACAGGCGGCCGTCCAGGAGATCCTCGTCCGAATCCTCCAGCGGCGGCCGAGGGGAAGGCTCGGCGGCAGGCTGCTCGGCCGCTGGAGCTTCCTCCGGTGCGTCCGAGGGTGATGTCGGCTGGGCCGTCGGCTCGTCTGCCGGCGGCTCCTCCGGCTCACCAGTCTCAAAGTCATCCAGCCGCGGCCAGTCGTAGAAATCCTCATCATCAGGGTACTCCTCCTTCTTGATGGGCCGATTTGGATCATACTCCTCATCGTCCAAATTCACCACATCCCGCTGTGACGGCGCGAAGTAATCTCTGTCGTCATCTGAGATCTCAATAACCGTGTCCTCCTGCGAGTAGGCGTCTGCGCAGCCGGGCGTCGACATCAGGATGTCCTCTTCGGACGGCAGCTCTAACCTGTCACAGTCGTCGTCACTGATCACTGGCTCTCCGCCGTGGCCAGCGGGCCGAGACGGAGACGCGGCCGGCGGCGGGTCTGTGCTAGAGTCGGCCGCAGGAGGAGACTCGGAGACGCGCAGAGGGATACTCTGCTCGGACGAACCCGCCGTGGAGTCACACTCCACGTTAGGCTCCTCTTTCAGCTTCGGCTCGGAGGGTGAACCGGGAGGGCCCGCCTTTGCCGCTGGACTGGGCGGCTCGACCTTGGGTTTGACGTCCGGCGGAGAGCTGATGACCCCAGAAGAGGGAGGTGAGGTGTCCGAGGCGGAATTCTCTGTCGCCGCCTCCTTAGCCTCAGCTGTACGGGTGCTAGTACTCGAGTCCGCAGGAAGCGCGGAATCTCTAACGGCGCCTGACTCTGCCAACGGCTCCGCCTTCGGTTCTGCTTTCGGTTCTGCCTTCGGTTCTGCCTTCGGTTCGACCTTTGGTTTGACCTTTGGCTCAGCTACCGCTGTTGGTCCGTTACTGGAGCCGGACATCCCCTGTGCAACACCTGCTGCGTCCACAGCCCGTGCCGCGGCGTCCGGAGCTTCACTTTTCACCACAGCGGACGGCGGACCGTTCGCGACTATCGGGAGCGCCGCGTCACCGCCGTCGCGTCGCGCCGAACGCTTTGGCTGAGGCGGCGCCACATATTCAACCAGAATAACGTCATCATCATCATCTTCAGCATGACCGTTGCCGTTGGTCATTTCGCAGCTCTTTGGTGAGCGTTCGCCGCCGGTTTGAACTGAGTCGCCCGTTAGCGGAGGAGGTAGCTCACTTGGCGAGCTGGAGCGACGCCTCTTGGTGGGCGGGGAGCTGGCCTCGGAGAGCGAACGCTTGTCCGCGGTCGGCGTGGCGATGACCGGCGGTAGTCCGTTGGTGAGCTGGGGCGGCGCCGGTGCGATGGGAACACTCGCTGATGGTGCAGAGGTAACACTGGCTGCCGGAACACTCGTTGGTGGCGCGGTGATAACACTAGCTGATGGAACATTGGGAGCACTCGCTGAGGGTGCGGCAGAAGCACTCGCTGGTGGAGCGTCTGGCACTCTCACTGGAGCACCTGCTAGCGGCGCGTCTGGGGCACCCACCGGCGGAGCGGCTGGCCCAGCGGCGGCAGCCGGGGTGGGAGGCACACTCGCGGCAGGCGGGGCGGCAGAGGCCGGTTCACTCGCAGCTGCTGGAGCGGCCGGCTTCCTAACAGTCGATGGAGCGGCCGGCTCACCCGCTGACGGTGTGGATGGCACGGCAGAACGGGCAGGCGGCTGAGCGATCTCGTCGTCATCAGACAGCACAATCTCCTCCTGCAATCAACAAAAGCAACAGGATCAGCACCACGAAATGGTGGTAGTGCTTAACACTACCGATATCAAAGTTAAGCACATTAGCATAGCAAATTAGCAAAGTAACCACTTTGTAACATATAACCAACGAATCAAATACCGAGTGGCTTCAAATACCGAGTAACACCAAGGCGACACCCAGCGATATAGAGGTGACAGTGGTGACACCGGTGTGATACCCTGCGAGTGACACAGGGGCCAACATTTTTGTGTCATGCTTTCATGGGTAATTCCAAATAGTACTCACCACAGGGAGAGTATCCGTTTCGGAAACGACGAACACGTATAACTCAGGCTCGTCGGCCTCCGGACCGCCGAGCCCGACCTGTTGACGCACCGCCAGCGGGCACCAGGTCTCGGCCGGCAGCCGCTCGTCGCCGATAAACGTTCCGTTCGCCGACTGGCGGAGTAAAAGAGACAGACGCGGGTCACTAAGAGACAGAGGCAGACTAGGTCGGTAACTCATTTAGTTATATCCTGAAGACGGCCAGCCTTATATCCACTGAACAAGCTTCCAGTGACAGAGGGGGCCAATATTTGTTCATATCTCGTCTGCTGGCTAACATTTCTGAGCCAGTCTCCCTCACGCGTCTACAAGACTTTTCCTGACAGGACTTACCCTCAGGTCATCTCACCGTCCAGGCGGGACTTACCCCGGGACTAACCCTAAGGTCAGGTCGGGACTCGGGACTTCCTTCAGGTCAGGTCAGGACTTACCCTCAAGCTAGGTCGGAGCTCACCGTCACCCTCCAGCCGGTACTCACCTTCAGGTCGCGGACGCACCAGCACGACGGCTGGCCCTCCGCCGGCGCTACGAAGCGGAACTCGCAGTGTCGCCGAGAGGAGAACGGTGACGGGCAGTGCACGCGACAGGCGGCGGCCCGGCCCGCGGTGATCGTCTGTGAACGGATAAAAGTGTCGTTTTGATTCATCTCTGTTTTGAAAACCGCTTCGTTCATGCATGACGCACATATTACGACTACGACTGAGCCCAGTTTGACATCGACATTTGGGACTGGCACCGAGAAAAGCAGTCCTTCGTCAGAAGACTAGGCAGCCACAGACCGCGACATGAATGGATCATTTTAGTCAGAAATATGTATGGACATTTCTGGTTCCTGATTGTTCTGTACAAAATCTGTCACGAATTTCTCGTTTTTTTATTAAAATGTCGGCTGTGCTGTGAACTCTTGACTTTTGATTCTGATTTGTCTCCCGATTTGCTGTGCGACTGAGTTTTGACGCTTGTCTTGTCTGTCGTCCGTTCTTCCCGTCCCTTCCGGTCGGCCGGCGCTCGGCGGCCCGAACCATGTGGGACCATGTGTGGGCCACATGTCTCTGTCCTGGGCCGACGACCGCGTCCAAAGCCGATGAGTTGTTCCACGAGTGTCGACAGGGAGAGGACCCGACGATCCTCTTCCTGGCACCAACGAATAAAACTTCAGCCGACAGCGAGCGTGTCGATGTGAACCGCGAGCCGCGACATCGAACTGAATCACAACAGTAATAGATGAATAAATAATAATGACAGCAAATGAATTGTTGTTGGGCATTCTCGATAAGCATCCTTACACCATACTTACACTTACATATCATTATTACAGCCCGCACCCTTACAAGTTACAGCAGTAATGTCTGCACATTAAATACAGCGGAGGCAGTTGTCACCGACCTTCCCCTGGGCCACAAGAACAGCGTTTCGGGGGAAACCCTACGGCAGTAGGCGGCCGACTTATCATAAACAGTGCACACATACATCGCGAAAATATGACGAAGTATGACGTTACTTTTGATTCTAATCTAAACAAACTCGCTAGCCGACGGTAAAACACCGAAAAAGTTTCATGTCTTCACAAGACGATCAAACATAAAGTATCACACTCGTCAACCCGCTCATCTTAATTTAGTCAGCATTAGATGCTCAAACAGAACCCAATGTCATATTTAACATTTGGTCAGCCCTTACGCATTCATCGCTACTCAGGAGGTGTACATAGGGGTGTGTAGAGGGCAAAGTGCGAAAGCGTATGGTGTTATCAGGGACACCTATGAGACCTACTCTATGCCGATCATGATAACAACTTTATCACTGATATTTGATCCAATCTGTCAACTAAGATCTGTCAACTTCCTACCAGTGGTACTTACAATGTGCTCGTAAATGTCTCCTTGTACTAAAGCCGATAATCGAAAGGAGCTAAAAAAGGAAGTTCGCCTATCGGGGCCATGCGACTTACCTACTATGCATTCAGTAGGTAGGTAGCTGTCCACTATCAACAGCCGTTTATCGAAACTACGCCCAATAACATCCCGGTTCTCACCCATTGTCCAGATCAATTAAGTTTCCACAGGCCTGATGAAAAGGATAATTGAAGAAAAAAACTGAGGCACGTGTACGAAAAGACACCATAAAGCGCAAAACTCATGCCACGTAACCAGACCTTCGTGAAGGTTCGTTCCTTCCAGCCTGATTATAAACATCCAGCCGCGTGTAAAACCCCCAGCGCCAGAGACACGGTGCCGGGACGGCTTCCTTGTAGAGAGGAAACCACCCCGAGGACTAAGCCATGCAACTCTCAGATTAAGGACAAACTAACCGTCCATCACATATCAACAATCCAGAATGCCATTCGTAGGATGGTGCTTTCTTGGCGCCATTCTTACAGGCCGCACAAACATGAAACACATGCCGTTTTCAAATGCAGGTCTACCTTCGTAGTTTGTGATGCGACAAGCATATCGACTTTGTTTAGGTTCAGTGAGCTAGCCCGTTAATCATATACGCACTGACCGACACGAAATACTCAACAAATACTATAATAACAATAGCAAGCCGTAACTAAGGACTCTAGTATTCCATGTCATACATTTCATTAAGGTTTTGCAGTGATCAACTTATCACAACTTACCGTCACAAAACAAATACACAGATACAGGCAGTACGATAACGATCATTTTAGGTACCTAAACTACCTGTCACCGAGTGCCATCGAAGCGTCCCGCCCAGCACGCTCCGTCGCCAGCGCCTAGTAGTTCAGTAATCTCGGCTAGCACCCACCTCCCGGCCCTGAAGGCGGTGTATCTGGGCGCGCTGCCGGCCACCGATCCCGATCCGGTGCAGAAACAGAGGTGGTGGCTCTTGCAGCGCCATCGCTGCAGGCCGAGACGGCGCAGAACGCCGCCGTTAGATACGCTGATCGTAGTGCGAAATCCAGTCTGTCGGATAGAGAAATGCGGCGCGTTAGTGAAGCAAGGCAGGTGAGCAATCAAGTGATGAGCTACCGAGCAATGGTACACCAAATCAGATGACCTTTTGTCTTTTTCTATTGTCAAGCGTTTCTCGTAAATATCGTTAAATGCGGAAGGTGCGCTGCTTGCCACTAAGCAGGAATATCTTCCCTGCTTCATTTGAAAAACAGATTAAAGTGAGGCGGTCTGGCAATACACACTACAACCAAAGCCTCATGGGTCGGTAGAATACAATATTTTGATGTTCAAATCGATGTATTAATTGATGTATATATCAACGGTCTTCCACAACCACAGCATATTCACACCACGGCGTCACTTAAGACCACACCCTCCCGGAACGCGCCGCTTCTCCCGACTGACCCCGCCCGCGCCTGCGCCGCCCCACCGAGCAGCGGTCACCCGCAGCCCGGCCCACGGTATTGCGCGGCGCGCCGTGCCATTTCGACCCGGCGCACTGTAGGCCGGCAGCCCGAAAAAGCGCTAGAAATTCCCCCAAACTGACTGTCCGCAATATGAACAAAATAGGTATCATTTAATCCCAAATTGATCGAAGAATACGATTCCGATGCCAGTTTTTCCCTAAGGTCAAAATTGAGGTCGTCAGTTGTCACCAAACACAAGACAATTTAGGCTCTCTAGTGGCCACCACATTTACCGATTTTCATGATGATCTTTAGTGGTAATTTATTAGCTGACCAATCGTCGTTTTGAACGAAATTTCCTGTCAGACTAGTTCAGGGCACTGTTGTTCACTGTGCCAACATCATTCTTACATATTGCATCGCTTTTCTGCAAGATAAGCTAGCTTTTTGCAAGCAGCTGCAAGACGTAAAAAAAATCATATCTAATTTTTTAATTAGACTTTTATAAAAATGTGATTTCGAGCAGCTAAAAATTAACGTTTTATACTAGCCTCTGATTACTCATCTTTCGTTCCATATAGGTGCTTTGCTGCTTTTCCCTGCTACTTTTCGAGATATGCGCCAGTAAACCACGCGATGTAGGGGCAATTGTCACCTCGCCGCTCTACTGAAGGCCCGGCGCTCTTTAAAGCGCTGGAAGTTGTGAAAAACAAACGCGTATAATCTGAATAAAATATATGTCCCTGAGCTCAGAATTGAGCAACGCACAGAATGCTGTCAAAAATTTTGGGCCAAACTAAAAAATTCAGTCATTATTAACCCCCAAACACAAGTCAGTGATAATCAACAACAACTTGCTCTTTAGTTAGACTTCTTGAGAAATGTTATTTCGAGCCGCTAAAAATGACCATGCCATACAAACCACTAATCATCTTTCTGTCATGCCTTACTCGCAATTTTTCCTAATGCCTGCTACTCTTCGAGGTCACGTGACCTCACCATTAAAAGTAAATGGGGAAATAATGAAACTGTTGTTTTTGCACATGGAATGATCTCAAACTATCTCAAGCACACGGAATCGTGATTTCATGCACTCCTTGCAAGATCCGATGCTTTACTTTTGTATTTTTGACCTTCCGTGACGTCATTTATGACGTCACTAAGGTCATAGGAGTTTCTCGTCAATAACTCATGATCAAATTGAGCCAGCGACTCGGGAAAGCCACCAATGGACTCAGAAAGACCTCCCGAATCGAATGATATGCAATACGACTTCCTTCGATTAAGTTCGTGGCCTGATGGGCTCTGACCTGACCTTGACTCGAGGTCAACACCTTAAGTTGACCTCACCCGGACAAAAAGTATACCATTCGACGCGCCTGAGCCAGGCGAACACGATGGTGCCAAAATCGCTGCTCTGCGGCCATTTTTTGCGAAATTATTTACCAAAAACCAAACCCTACCTTGGGCTTTTTGACTTCACCTCAGAGGTAATCGGTTGACCTGGGACCTTAAAATCGGGTATCAATCGTTCCGTCTTGAAACGGCGCACACGCTTGTTTTTTCCGCGAGGCTCTAGCTCCATTAGAGGCGAAACGAAGAAAAGGGGTCGTACCAACCCTCCCCCCTCGGCCGGCCGAGGGGGTGGGGGGGTCCGACAATAGGTCCGGCGAGGGTTAAGCAGTCCCACTTCGTTTTTAGTATGTTTGCTTGTCACTGAGATCAACAACTCAATCACAGATAATTTCTAGCACTTTTCCGGGCCCCCGGCCCAGTGTGCGGCGGCCGGCGGAGGGCAGTCGACCGCACGCCGTCGCGCCGCCCCGGCGACGCCGTCACCTCAAACATCGCACGAAGTAGCATTTCTCGTCAATTAGGACATTACCTTACACGCAGCATTACATGTAGCGTGCTTACGCGTGTATTTGTGTTTGCGTGATGGACTGCGGCCCTTACTGGACCTCGGCCTATGGTTGTTTTTCGCACAATGAACAATAAACTTTACGAGGCGGCCGGCGAACAAAATACACGAAGAACTGCACACATCATGGACAGTTTACCAGTTCATAAATACACCATCAAACATTTTGATTCTCACCCCCACCCTATCCATTCAAGAGGACATTAGACAGTTCCTTCACACACCGCGACCATTCCAGAGCGCTGCGGCGACGTCTTCACATTCTGAGGGGCGGTCTGCGCGGTGGAGGAAGGCGGCTGCGAGGCTGTGGGCGTCATCCTTGGCGATTGTACGGGCTAGAGAGGCGTCCTGAGTTATGGGCCCCGGCGAATATCCAGACCAGGGCGCTTAACTTCGGGGTCATCATAACAACCCAGCACGACATGATCTTCATGGTGATTCCTGCCATTTAATGGCCGCCCCACACTGGAACTCGCATGCAGGTTGCGGGTTTTTGGGTTTTCGGGGTTCTTCAATATTAAATAATACAATCTATGCTGAGTGACCCACACTACCATCTAGCAAGCGAGTCTGCATGTTCTCAGCTTGCGAGCCACCTTGCATCACATTCCAAAAGTTGATTTTGAGTCAACTTTCGATTTTCCTCGCTGCGAGGTCTGCGAGCTCTGCGAGGTTTGCGGGTTTTTCGTTGGAGTCGAATTTTGGTTCGTTGCGCTGGTTTTGCGACTGTATGTAATTTTCTGAAGGTGCACCGGCTTCACTGCATTCATTAAGCTACCATAAGGGAACGGTCTAATCACCCTAAGAATTAGTATTATACCCGTAAACTCAAAACCCGCAAACTCGCAACCCGCATGCGAGGTCCAGTGTGGGGCGGCCTTAACCCTCGCCGGCCGAGGAAGGGTGCCGCCCCTCCCCCATAGTTTTTTTTTTGCGATAACTCCGAACATGCTGGCGATAGAGCTGAAACTTGGCATACCTGACCTTTGATTCAAACCGGATATTTTGACACCAACCGCATTTTCGGGTCAAGTCAGGTCACTGACCTATGACGTCATAAGTGAACCTCTGCACGGTCTTCAGATGTCGTAACTTCGCAACACCCTCACTGCCAGAGGAGCTTTCACGGGGAAATGAAACTTGCAGGATCTATATCCATTACGAGTCTTACAGCTTGCATATCTCGTATTTTTCCTAAAGGTCATATGAGGTCAGGTCATTTTCGTGACCTCAGTCCTCACCATTACATATAAGTCAATGGGGAAAAATGAAAAGTGCTATTCTGGCGCCGGGAACGATTCCCAACTATCTCAAGCACACATAATCGTGATTTGATGCACACCTTGCAATGTTACATGCGTCACTTTTGCAATGTTGACCTTGCGTGACGTCATTTATGACGTCATTAGGGTCATATTAGTTTTTCGTCAATAACTCCCGATCAAATTGAGCAAGCGAGTCGGAAAAGCCACCAATGGACTCAGGAAGACCTGCCGAATCGAATGATATGCGTATGACCTACTTCTACCAGTCAATTTCGTGACCTGGGGGCGCTGACCTGACCGTGACCTGAGGTCAACACCCTAAGTTGACCTCACCCAAACAAAAAGTATATCATTCGACGCGCCTGAGCGAGGCGAACACGATGCGGCCAAAATCGGCGCTCTGCGGCCGTTTTTTTGCGAAGTTATTCACCAAAAACTGAACCATACCTTGGGGCACTTGACCTGACCTCAGAGGTCACCGGTTGGCCTAGGACCTTAAAATCGGGTGTCAATCTCTGCGTCTCGTAACGGCGCGCACGCTCGTTTTTTCCGCGACGCGCTAGCTCCACCAGGGCGAAACGGCGAGGGGGTCGTTCCACCCCCCCCCCCCTCGGCCTATGTAGAAAACCAATAGGTCCGGCGAGGGTTAATGTAGGCAAGTAAGAGATGTTGCACACCGATTCAAGAAATCCTGCATCTAAGTACATTTTGAATGGAGGATCCCTTGCAGCAATTGAGGAAGAAGAGGAACTGCCCAGTAAACATGCCGACGTCGGCCTCACGTCAGCATCTCGGCACCGGCATGCCGACGTAGGTTTTTTCGGGCAATCAACTGATGCGATCATTTGTTTGTAATTGTTTGTGCGTTTCCTTGATCTTTTGATAGTTTCCCTACGCTTAATTCGCGATGTTCACAATAAATTTAATCGGGAGCCATTACCTGTTATTTTCGGTGCAATTTGTTTAATATATATAGCTTTGTTCCACAGCTCTAAAACTTTCCTCTGCTATTTTTCGATTTTCAGCACAGAAACCAGCCAAAATTCGCTTGAGCATAAAATAGGTTTCAAAATGGTTTCAAATAACACCATTTTACTTTTTAGAACTTCATAGCAGCAGCATAAGAAACGAAACACGGACCATTCTCTGGGCCTTTCGAACGGCGGCAGGAGACATGTGCTTGCGTCGGCGGATCGGCGAGTGGTGTTCAAGACTATTCGTGGAACGGGTGTGAGGTGGATAACATATAAGTAAGTCATACTTCATAAGGCTTAACTTGTGTTGTGCCCATTTCGATTATCTTTTGATGTTCGTTGTGTTGTGATGATGAATACAGAGCCTATTTGTGAAACATGCATTTTATTTTATGGTCAAGAGTAAGACAGCGGGTCAAGACATGGTCAAGACAGCGGGATA